GGTCCAGTATTGTGGTGTCCTTAAGGTTATAAGTGGAGCACCTTACGGTTATAAGATCACGTAAGCTTTTTGGACCTACATCACTGGCTAATATCTTAAAGACAGTGGACAATATTTTCGCTAATCGCTGTTCACGAAGACTTGAGAGACCGATACGCTTACAAAGTTCCTCATAAGGCGAGGACTTATCTCTAAAAACAAAACGGAGCGCACGTTTGTTCATCAACTCTAACTTGTCAGCTGACTTTTTATTACAGAAGTGTGGTAAAATGAAAGCTTTATAAAGATCCCTTCTAGTCTCAAAAGACAACATTTTCTGCATCCTTTTTAATACGGCGACTTGTTGACTGACTTTTCTACATATTTTAGCGATGTGCTTTTCAAAATTTAATTTATCATCGATTTTCCCGCCAAGAAGTTCCATTGTGTTGGATATGGGAAGTTGTGACTCCTCACACTTAAACACTGGTTCATCAGTTCCTTTGTGCTTCCCCAACACCATAGCCTGGTATTTTGAACTGTTCCTCTTCATACCATTACGCGCAAACCATATATCAGCACTAATAAGATCATTGTTGATTGTTTCTTCAACTTTGGAGAGTTGATTGTCGGCGTAAAAGATTTGAGTGTCATCAGCGTAAATGGACAGAGTGCACTTCTTGATGATATGAAAGATCATTCATGAAGATGTTGAATAATAAGGGGCCGAGGATGGATCCCTGTGGTACACCATTGCATATAGGTTGCCAATTGGAAAGCGTATCCCCCAGTCTCACCCTTTGGAATCGATTTGATAAATAATCTTTTATCAGGGAGATTGTTGCTTCATCTGCTCCATATTCTTTTAATTTCAAAACAATCAGTTCATGAGGTAAGGTGTCGAAAGCCTTGGACAAGTCCATGGAGACCAGACCGATCAATTTATTGTTATCAATTTCCTTTTTTCCATTGTTCGGTCAGACTAAGAAGTGCTGAGTCGCAGCCGTGATATTTCCTATAAGCAAACACATATTTGTGATAGATTTCTTCAAAATACGGGCTTATTCGGCAATGAACAATTTTTTCGAAAACCTTCGATATAGCTAGCAGAATCGTTATCGGCCGATAGTTAGTTTTTAATAGGCTGCAGTCTTTTTTGAGAATTGGAGTGACCTCGCCAAGTTTCCACTGTTGTGGTATCTTAGTTGAAGTTAAAACATGATTAATCAGTGTACAGACATCCATCGATTCTTTAACTGCTAGTGGAGTGATCCCATCACATCCAGAAGCCTTGTTTGGAGCAAGTTTCCTCATTACCTCGTAAACTTCTGTTGGATCAGTATTGCTTAGCGACACATTCGGCCTGCCTATTAAGTTATTTGATATGTGCGATAAATCTACTGGATAGCCGTTTTGATTTTGTTCTTTGGCACTTTGAGTACAGCTTGTGAAGAAATTGTTTAATGTCTCGGTCACCTCTTGAGGATTCCTGATGATTTTGTCACCCTCCTTTAATGTTATTCCGCTATTGTCTACATTCTTTCGGGAATTAACATAAGGCTTGATGGCACGCCAAAACTTCTTTTGATCTGCATATTTGTCCGAACACAGCTTCTCAAAATGTCTACGTATAGATTTTCTTCTCATGCTAACTACTTTGTTGCGCACTATACAGTAGCTCTCCCAATCACACTGATTACATGATCTATTAAATTTTTTCTTAAGCCGTTTTCGTTCCACCATTTCTCTCCGAATTTCAGGAGTGATAAACTTCGATTCTATTGAAGATCGTCGTTTGAAAGATCGCATTGGTGCGTGGTCATCTAACACCTGGTTATATAACGTCTCCCAGCACCAGTAAACATCGTCCATATCATCAAAAACGTATGCAGCATGGAAAGGAACTCGACTGAGATCTTTCTGAATATCATCTCGGTTAAAGGTCTTGAATATCCGTTTCTTGACGATTTCGGCGTTAGCATGTAACATTTTAGTTTTGAGAACCGTGTAAACCAGCAGATGATCACTGATTCCTGTTTCGATAGCGCCAGACGATTTCATTTCATTCGTTGGCGAAATCACCGCAGTTCGTCTTGGTGATCTAAATTGCGACATAATTCATCCGTTTATGAACAATAACCAGGGCAAATGCCTTTTGGATATTTGCGATATCTATGACCTCGACACATTAATTAAAGAACCGACAAGAATTTCAACAAATAGAGCTTCTTGCCTGGACGTCATTCTTTCAAATGTGCCCATGTTTATGAAATCGTCTGGGAATTGCGGTGATTTCGCCAACGAGTGATTTCGCCAACGTCACGTTCGTCAACGTCTTTGGTCGCTTCGCCAACGCGATGAGACGCTTCGCCCACGTCCTACTGGTCACTTCGCCAACGCCAAATATCTAGTAATAACTTAGTAATAACTTAGTAAAAAGGAGTTGGAGTTATAGAATTAGTAATAGTAGTAGTCTACAATGTATTTATATAAATCTCTGTTCTAGAAGTCTCAAAGGTAATTATATAAATCTCTGTTATCGACAAATAAACCTTATAGAAGAACTTAAGGAAAAGGTTGCACACACGCGACTTTATTGCTCTAAGTTAAATTCAGCAACGTACAGCGCCGGTGACGTGTGGCGTGCCGTGCATTTATGTGGGCCCACTGTGTTTTAAGTTGCGCGTACAAGAGAAGGAAACTAAGTCCGAACAAAATAACGGAAGGAAACTAAGTTCGAACGGGGAAATCAAGTCAGCTCAGTCAAGTAAATAACACACAGAAGCAAGAAGAAGTAATGGTAAATTTTTATTTAGAGTAAACTAATACATTGGCGAAGTGACCAGTAGGACGTTGGCGAAGCGACTTTTCGCTTGGCGAAGCGACCTAAGACGTTGGCGAACGTGACGTTGGCGAATTCACTCGTTGGCGAAATCACCAGATACCACCAAGACAAATCACGTTTTCGCAGAGAGATATCGCTTGATCCAGGACTGTAGTCAATTCAGTGCTGAAAGTAGAATTGTTAACAGAAGGAGGCTTGTAGGCACTGACTAAAGCAAAGCGTCTTTGTCCGATGTGTAGATTGAATAAGAGTGATTCCACTGATGTTGTAATGCCTTTCTTACATGTTGCGGCGATGTTATCGCGAATAAAGACGGCAAGACCGCCACCACCTTTCGTCCTGTCACGGCGAAATAACTTGTACCCGTTGACATAAAATTGAGAGTTAGGAAAGGATCGATCGATCTTAGTTTCCTGTATGGATAGAATGTCGAAGGCTCTGTTCGTTAGCCACTCCTTGATCTCCTCAAATTTGCTTGGTAAACTGTTTACATTTAGGTTTGCTATAATGCATTCCTTGGGATTTTCGTTTCTAATTAACTTCATGTCCGAAAGTTGTGAACTAAGGTCCAGCTCAGTGTCGCTCGCGCTTTCATGCGTTGAACTATTCAAGGTGGAAAAGAATGAATCGCTAAACTTCGGCAAGGCACAGAAAGAGCATATCCAGTCGACAGATGGATTATTAAGATAGTACTGAAAGGTCGAGTTCGACATATTCAGACATCTTGCATGCGACCAGGTGTTGCACTCAGAACATAAAATGGCGTCTTGATTGCTTCTTACGGATTTAGAACATTCACCACAAGAACATTTCGTAGGCTTCCTTCTTGGACCAGGGTTAGGTGAAACATCTCCAGAAATCAACAATCTTTGCGCTTGAAATGTACCTACACCAGTAGCAGTGTATAATAATCTTCCTCCATTAAAACGCCTCGATGCGAGCTTGAAAGGTAGTTTGTAGTAAGCACTTGACGTTGTTAAGTGGAGTGAAATAACCAGTCGCACACAGCGTTCGGGATGCATAAAACTGCAGCTTGATGACTCACGAAAGTCTCGTAATAATGTGCCGCCCATACGGACGTGTCTGACCGCCATGATGGCCTAGTTGACACTCACATGTGGGTGAACGAGGTAGAACATGGTTAACTTTGGGTAGATGTGGGTTAACGTGGTAGAACATGGTGAACTTATGGTAGATATGGGTCAAAGTGGTAGAACATGGTTAACTTAGGGTAGATGTGGGTAAATGTGCTAGAACATGGTTAACTAAGGGTAGATGAGGGTTAACGTGGTTGAACATGGTTAACTTAGGGTAGATGCTGCTCAACGTGGTAGAACATGGCTCAGCTATGGTAGATGTGGGTTACCGTGGTAGAACATAGTCAACTTAGGGTAGATGTGGGTTAACGTGGTAGAACATGGCTAACTTAGGATAGATGTGGGTTAACGTGGTAGAACATGGCTAACTTAGGGTAGAGGTGGGTTAACGTGGAAGAATAAAGCTAACTAGGACATATTGTAAGTTTTACATGAAGCTTATAGCATATATATTGTCAGCCATTTTGTCATTTTTTCAGCCATTAGTCCATGAGCCAAGACACCTCAAAAATGTCTTTCGTAGCACCCCCCATAAGACATAGTGTATTTGGTATCAAATGAAAGCTTAGTGTGTATACTTTGATAATATACTTGTTACATTTTATGTAACTTGAACGTAAGCGTGAAAAACAACTACTTCCAATGGGGGGTGGGTGGTTTGACTTTTTGTCAAGAGTTAATTTTTAGTTTGAAAACAGCAAATATCTCCCAGCCGTCTTATCTGATATGAAAAGAAAACAGCCAAAAGTGTTCTTAAGATAAAGTTATGTGCACTTGTTTGTCAAAACCCAAATTGGGTGTTGGCATGGCAACTGTTGCTAGGCAACTATTTCAAGTATAGACATTAAAATTTATTAACTTGATTTTATTTCAGAAACTGCATTTTAATAATAATAAAGCATTATTAGTTGCAAGCAACTCTTATCATTTAGATTAGATTTCTCTGGCATTATTTCAATCCTTATTCCGTGTTAAAAGTAGTCTTAAGAGGGGATGGGTGGGGCAAGTTTTTGACCTGGCCGTGTTCAGGTGAAGAAGAAAGCCAACGTAGACTTTACAAGGAGACAGGCTCTGCTCGCATGAAAAGAGACGAAGAAGATGTCAAGAAAGTTATTGAAGTAATCAGCAACTGGCGTAACCCATTTGAACCATCAGAGGAACTTCTCTGCATCAGCTCGGGGTATGTTACCAGCGACAGCATAAAGCAAGACCTGCTGGAGGCAAAAGAGAAGGGAGCAACAGCTTTAACAGCGTTTGTAGAAGAAAGAATAATCACAAATTCAACAGGAATCTTTGAAACACTCCCTAAACTGAAGCTAGGAAGTTTCCGTGATACACACAAGAAGACTTCTGTGACAGCAGGAGACAGGAATGTCATGATAAGAGCCGACAGAAACCTTTTTGCCCGCCTGCTTGTCATTGGACAGAGCCGCCAGATGGACCTGAGATGTCTGCTGTCTCATGAGCTTGGCCCTCTCCCGTGGTCTTTAGCTTTACCCGATGGCTCATTAGCCAAGACAAACAAAGCCAGTCTTTCTGTGTTACTCGAAAATGGTGTAGAATGCCTACCGAGCTTACCTGATCAGACTACAGCTGTCATCATAGATGCAATGGCGATGCTACAGACAGTAGTCAGAGTGCCTGATAGATTTTGTGAGCTGGCAGAGATGGTGATGTCCAGAATTCTGACAGAAGCTGGCGAGGCAGCAAGAATTGACTTTGTAGGAGATCAATATCCGGCCATCTCAATAAAGAACACAGAAAGAAACAAACGAAGCAGAGATGGACAGCTGGTAGTCAACGTCACCAACGGTCAACAGATGTGCCCACGTCAGTGGAGAAAGTTTCTGGCAAATGGTAAAAATAAAACTAACCTCCTAAGCTTCCTTGTACGGGAGTGGTCAGAAAACGCCGTGTACGCACAGAAAATTAAAGACCGCACCTTCTTTGTCACTCACGGAGACAACTGCACCAAACTTGTCGCCCCAAATGGTTCAACTACTGCAAGCGATGTGCCCGAACTTTGCACCAATCAAGAGGAAGCTGACACTAGAATGTTCCTCCACGCAGAACATGCATCTCAAAATGGACACTAGCGCATTGCCATTAAGTCCTCTGACACAGATGTAGAAGTACTAGCCTGCTATTACCAAGCCGTCATTTCTGCTGACATAATTCTGGTCAGTGGTACTAGTAGAAGATCTCGCATTGTTAGCATTCGACGGGTATGTGAAAGACTTGGCCGAGAAATATGCGAAATACTTCCAAGTCTCCATGCCATAACTGGTTGCGATAGTGTGAGCGCTTTTTCAACAAAAGGGAAGAAGAAGGCTCTTATGTTGTACAGATGAATCCAGCTTTGAGGCAAACTCTTGGCTCCTGCTAGACAAGATGACTTAAACAAGCTAGAACGGTTTGTCTGTGCCTTATACAACGACCACCTATGCCAAAGTGTAAACGAACTCAGGTACAAGTTGTTCTGCAAGAGTAAAAGCCTGCAGTCACATCAACTTCCCCCTACGAAAGAAGCTCTTGAAAACCATCTCAAGCGTGCTAACTACCAGTCATTCATCTGGAAGCATGCCCTACAAACAGAAGTGAACCAGTCTCCTGATGGCCAGGGTTGGCAACAGAAGAATGACCAATTGGAAATCTACTGGACTAACCAGGCACCTGCCCCTCAAGCGGTCATGGAACTTATTTGCTGCCGCTGCAAAGGATCGTGCCAAACACGACGCTGTTCTTGTGTCAGCAATGGCCTTCCCTGCACGGAGGCATGCACATGCCAAGATAACTGCCTTAACTGTATTAGCAAGGACGATAGCGAAGATGATGATAGTGATGATGATACTGACGGTGATGAATATGAAAGCTAACCTGGGATTTCTTTTTCCTGTAAGCCTGCCACGAAAACAAAGAATGCTATTTGCAACACATTGGTTTAGAACACACTGCATTGAAAGTGTAATTAACCATGTACATTACTATTTCCACACAGTTTCTCTTATAAACGATGAGAACAAAGTATGTTAATAGCAACACATTGGTTTTAAACATATTTGATATTATTTTGACTCACGAGTTCAAATGAGAATGTACAATGTCTCTCTTCAAATGTACCTAATAAGGGTGTGTTAAATGTAACACCTAGTCTTAAAGACACAAACGACGCAAATGCTACTGTTTTCATCAATTACAAAGTATACTATCTATGCTTCTAAACGTTTAGCGTACAAACGTTGCCATGGCAACAGTTGAGGCAGTAAAATTACATGGTAAACCTCTTAGTGACTACAAGAGAAACATTGTCAGTGAGTTTTAATGCAAACGCATTTCAGTTGTCAATAGTATGAGTATTTTGAGTGTGTAATAAAGGTACTTCCGTTATCTTCCAGCCAGCCCCAACCCCTCCCCCACCCCCACCCCAAAGTTTAATTTGCATTTATCTTATTTTTCTGCGATAATTATGGCAAAGGATGCGCAAGAAAAGCCTAATTTTAAAAGTGGCATTCTTAACTTCTTCGCGTTTTTTTGTCAAAATTACACTCACAGCGAAATTTGGCCAGTGAAGATGACAATTCTGTAATTCACTATTTGGACAAAAACAGTTGCCATGGCAACTCCCAAAACCATGTTTTATACGTAAGATTCCTACAGTATTACGAGCATTAATTTTTTTGTTAAGTTTGGGGTAAAAACATTTGGTATTTGTGCAAATAATTCCCTGTTCATAGTTTTTATGGGTTTACAAGTGCAAATTGTCCTTGCCCACCCCCCCTTGGGAAAAGTTGATTTTCTCGCTTACGCTCAGGTTACATAAAAAGTAACAAGTATATTATTAAAGTATACACAATAAGCTTTCATTTGATACCAAATACACTATGTCTTACGGGGGGGGCTACGAAAAATTGATTTCTAGCCGCATTTCAGGATTTGGCTCATGGACTACATGGCGTATATACCCTAAATTTAATTGTCGAAGCACTTTAAATTTCAAAGTGGTTCTGTTTGAATGTGGCATACACGACGTTCTTAGTGGAATTCATTTATGGCGGATGACGTCTGATTCCTCTGATTTTTCTTTCATAATTTGTTATATTCCGTTAAACCTCCAGTGAAGATCTTAGTAACGAAAGCGGAGAATAAAATGGCTTTCAATAAATTTAACATTCCAGCTACAGGGCAGATGATTCCATCGCAAAATCAAGGTAAGCAAGGCTCTCTCTTTTTGGGGATCCTGGATTGATCAGGTGCTGATGTATCGAGACCTAACTCAGTCTTGGCGAAACGTTGTTACATAAGTTCATTTTCCAACCTTGCATTAAGATTTTTGTAGTAATACTCGCCCTCAATGTTTACATATAGGCGATACATTCTAAGACCCAACTTATAGACCATTCCAAATGTCTCTCTCCCTTCTACGTCGATGCCCTGTCGTCTCACAGAAAAATAAAGTGCAATAACATGACAATGATAATCCAAGGTAGTCGATGCGGCAAGGTAACTTTTTGATTTGACTTGAAGAAGACCTTGTATACTGTGATGCATGGTCATGCAAACGGTGAGGTTGGTGCTGTGTGTCTGTATTGTTTGACTAAAGAGAGAGCACAAAAGATATATTCAGTGTTCTTCCTTATTTTAAGCATAACAGGTAAAATAAATTTTCAAACTGGTAAAGGAATCCTTCTACCTGTTGAATTTTTAAGAATTCCAAGCAATTTCAAACGGTAATAAAGAGGTAGTACTGGTGGTAAATTTTTACTGGTTATTGTCTGAAAAGGAGAACGCTGTATATTGACACAAATTAATGTCGCTAGTCAGAGCTTTATGTTACCATCTAATCTCGCCATTGTCTTTCAAGGTAATTTCAGTCAAATACCAGCATCATTTCAACAGATGGGAGGTTTTCAACTCGGACAACAATATGGTGTTCAGGGTTTTGGTCCTCATCAAGGCCAGGTGAGATATCATAATTGTAAATATTTTAATACCTCCCCATTAAATTTATATTTGGTATCAGAAAAACCCAGGATTGAGAATATTAAATTGTTTAAAAATCTAGACAAATTTTGTTCATTGAGTTTGAGCTTGTATTTATCTAGAGGCACACCTCTTGTATATTTTATAAACAGAGTTCTTTAGATGGCTTTGCCTTCAACACCTGCTGTTGAAGGATAGGATTTCGTGTACTTTAAGTCGATGTGCTTGATGTACACTCTGTATCCGTCAGTCTTCCAGTTGATAAGCTTACTTTTTTTCCAATCAGTATACCAGTTGTAAAGTAATTGATATCAGTTTATAGTGGCTTGTTGAGTATCAATAGTTGGTCACTTGTCATACATTAGTCAGCCACTAGTCAGTAAATTGTCCACAACCATTGATGGTTGGCCAACATCTAAATTGTTTATCAATATCATGACCAAGACACAAGCTAGCCATCAGTGGGGTGACTTGGTTTACCAGTGGCTGACTATTAATGATTTTTAGCTGACCATCAGCCGATCATCATCGGCTCTTATCAACTAAACTTTTGATCATCTACCTGTCAATAAATGTTTTACTTATAGTATTTGTGATATCAAGGATGTAAAGTTTGATGTGACCAAGAGATTTTATGTGTTGTTCTCAATTATTTTTAGAGGTTTGCTGGTCCTCTTCCTGGATATCAGACAGGGTTACCCATGGGATCTCAAATGAGTCAACAAATGGGTCCTCAAATGAACTCACATGTGAGGTCTCAAATGGAACCTCAAATGATAAATGTACCTCAGAGTGGTCTTCAAATTGGAGGATTTCCATCAAATGTGCAGCTGGGTCACCAGTTTCCAAAGCAGCAACAAATGAGGATGGATCAGCAAAGAAAACAAGCTGAAGAAAATGCTAAGAAACAAGAGGAGCTAATCAAGAAAAAGCAATTTGAGGCTCAACAACGCAAACGTCAGCAGTCTTTCACTGCCAAAAAATTGTCAAACCCAGATGCTTTAAACAGCTTGTTTGGTAAAAACAAAAATAGTGGAAATTCGTCAATTGCTGATTTAATTGGGCCCCTTGGCAAGGAGTCAGAATCCAAGTTACAAGCAAAAAAAGCATCCAGCATATGTAAGTATTGTTATACTTTTAAAACTCATTTTTAGTGAAACAATATCAAAGATTTAATTTGTTATAACTGTGCCATATACTATCCATGTTAATAGTTTCCCGGCCTGGTGGCAGTGCCACAAGTCAGTCTTCAAATCCCACTCAAGGCCAGTGGGGTTCAGGATTTATGACTTCAGGACATTTGAATCCCCAAGCGGGTCTGGTAAGCGGAGTGACATCTAATAAGCAACCTGATGACATGGATGACTTTGGGGACTTTTCACAAGGACCATCTTTTCCAGCCCAAAGTGGTGGTGGTGGTGATGCAGATTTCAGTGACTTTCAGGGGGCAGCTCAAGTAATGGCACAGGGTGGAGGTTTGTTATTTATTACTGTTTGAATTTTTTATTTTATTTTATTCACTTTAATTTTTTTTTGCTTTTTTCTCATATATCATTGTTAAATTTCTTGTTAACTCTTTAATTCCCAAGATCTGATTAATTCTCCCCTCTAGCCGCTACACATTTCCTCATAAATAAGTTACATGAATGTGGTGTTAGATCAAGATAACAATTTCTACCTGATGAGTTTGTATGTTCTCATAACCTGTTTGCTGGATAGTGTTTAGATATTATAGGAAGAAGTTACATGTTAATCTCTTCTGGGAGTTAAATGATTAAATAACTTTATGTCTTGTAAATAGAATAAGAAAGGTGGTAAGTTTTTTTGATGTGAACTTTGTAATGGGCCTTGCTTGCCACAGAGTATGGCTCAGTGGTGGAGCATCAGAGCATGGAATCCAAAGGTCTGAAGTTTGATCCTTGTCCCAATTTTTTTTGTCCCATGCTTGTGACAAGACTTAAAAAAAACTCTGTCACTAACTTTATTTTGTATCTACCTTTATTTAAAAGTGTGAGGTCAAGGATTTGATTGTTCTTTATTATGTTGCGGTAAAAAGTTTTACTGATGAAATTTATTTTATTTGTGACATGATACATAACATTAGTATTTCCTTCTTAAAAGGGAAGCATGCTCCAGAAACTATACAATGTATAATTGGATAACTGTTAGCATTTTTGGACTCTAATGAGAAACCTTATCTTTCAATATGGTCTTAAAATGTTTTAGAAATTCAACTAGGGTTGCTTCCTTTTTTAATTGCTCAGCAACCTGTTCACTTTTCTGTGTCCCGGCAAAGTCTCACCTCTCTTCTCTCAGTCCTGTTTCCTCTGAAAAACATGAATTTGTAATCCCAGACAAGGCTCACAACCAGAATTAATAACCTTGTTTCCAACTCACTAAACCTACAGGTAGTTCCTTTCATGCTATGGGTTCAGGTGCACCAGCCTCTCCTAATGTTGGTGGCAACATGAATGTGTTTTCTCAAACTCAGTTATTCCATGGTACTATTGGAGAACCATCCAGGAACATTTTTGCCACCAGTTCTGCAAATCAAATTCAGCACAACAGTTTTCCACCTGCACAAAATATGTCAGCAACTTTATCTTTGCATGGAGTGCAAACAACAGGTGTCTGTGCTCCAACTGCAACCTCATGGGTTGGACCTTCTGATGTTGCTCAAGGGAGCCAGGTGCCTCTTTTTGTGGGAGATTCCAGTCACAGAAGCAGAAGCATACACAGTGTATCTACCCAAGGAGGTCATATAACCCAGCTTGTGGGGACTAGTGCATCAGAGATGGTTTCTGATGTTGCCAAGAATACACCAAGTGGAGGAACAATGCCACTAACAGACACACATCATAAGCAAATTGGCATTGGAAATCAGCAAGGAACAACCTTCCCATTAAGCAAATTAGCCCCAGATAATGTTTATCCATCACCTACTATTGGCCATTATGGAGGTGAAACTGGTGGAGAGTCTAACTTGCAACAACATTCAACAGAATCTACCCAGGAAACAGGTCAGAATGTAAGCTCTCTTACAGAGCTAAAAATATGATGCTATTATCCTAGAATAATGAAATTCTATTATCAGGGTGTAGTCCCAACACAATTTTGTCATTCATGAAGGGTAACCATAGAACCGAGGAAATGATATGGACCTGAAAGAGAATGTTGTCACTGACAATTTTGGAAAGTAGTCTCGTATTAGATAATGATGTATTGTTCAGTAATATTTTCAAACATAATTCTCTAAAAGCAAGGTATTCAACATTTTCAATCAAGCCACAAAGTTGACAAACTTAGTAGATCATTAGCACTATTATGACTAGGGAGGTCTTGAAACTTAAAAAAAATGCTGTTTCAAGTATTTTCAAGTGATGTTTTATTTTTATGTATCTTTCAGATACTGAAGCTGAAGACACAACTGAAAGGAAACTAGAGCTGTTGTATGGTGTAAGTCTTCCTGAGTGGTGTGTTCATGGTACAGACCTTCCAGGAATTTATAAAGAGATAGCAGAGAGAACAAGCAATCCATGTGATGATCTTATTGACACTAGTGGTTTGTTTCCCATCCTCATGGCTTCTGATCTTCCTCGTGACCAGCTTGGTCATATTTGGAACCAGGCTAATAGAGCAGTTCCAGGTCAGCTTAACATGTTGGAACTGAGAATTGTGTTAGGATTGGTTGCTCTGGGTCAGGTAGATGTTCATTTATTTTCAGTGTCATTACATAATTAACTCTTTGTTCTCCTACATATGTATTAGATACATGTGGATTGGCATAGATAGTTTACAGATATTTGAAATTTCCTATATATCTGTCAAATATTTGCAAACATCTTTGCAGATATTCTGCAGGTATGAATTAAAAACCATTACAGAGAATATGCAGTACTGCAACAGATATGTGACAGATAGGTTTATTTGTAGCTGTCTGTTTGGCATAGTAAAATCATTCAGAGGGGTAAGGGTGTGACTAAATTATGTCAAAGTTTCAACTGTTTTACAAATTGAAATAAGTTTATAAGTTTTATCCAATGGGATTTCTTCTCTATTTACTTTGTTTGATTGGGTATGAGCAGATTGTCAGGAAAACCTTTCATAAGTGTGGTTAGGTTTTATCAGCTATCATTGTCTTTTAGATGTTAAATGGTTGTGCAACAGTCATGTGTGGCCCTAGAGTTTGCAGAGTTTGCAGAGTTTTCATGACACACTGATGTCATATTTCACATTCTTTGCTCACATAATGTATCACTTACATAACAGTACATTAGCTTGCAATGCCAAACATAATCTGCTTACAGTTCAATATATTGTCTACCAGCAAACATCAGTAATAGTGTGTTATACTTCATTTACCATTAACAATCATGATTCTCAGACTGTCTGAATTTGCCCACTTACTTAGTCTTCAGTTGAATCAAGCAATCAACTCCACACTCTATATCAGGCCGAGCATTTATCTACCCAAATGTGTTGGGTCACTTAATTTGCATTACTTTACTTTACCTGCACAATACATTACCTGACCTATGTCAATGTGGCCAAAACATAGGAAATGAGTAAAAGACTGGTTAGCACTTCTATTGTTGTTATAGTGTATTACCTTTTTACATTATTACTTTTTTTATCTTGGTATCCTTTGTGAAAAATTATAGGCTGGTTTAAAAACAGAACGGCTTACTCTTGAGAAGTTGGGAACTTGTAAGGCTGCTCCTATTCCATCCATTCCTGAGGATGTGTTGCAGGTACAGGTGTATGTCTTACTGCATTGTGTGTACTAGTTAAACATTATCACAATCAGGTGGTATGTTTTTAATTCAAATAGCAGTTGACAGGAATAGTCAGTTAGACCAAACTGAGTTCTCAAATTCACAACTTACAGCTTTTTGCTGGTGATATTGTGGAAAGACTTTGTAATTTTATATTAGTCTGAAATAGCAGGACAATGAGTTATGTGAAACAGTTTAACAAGTTTATTTCATTTTATTACATCTACTAGAATAAAGGGCGAGGCTGGAGTTTCTCAGAGTCGTTACATGAAGAGTCCAAAGATAGGGGATCTTTAGAGGAAAATGTATCAATGGGACATCTTAGTGGTGCCTCCAGCAATCAGACCATTGACCCAAATGACAGGTATAGTGTATTTAGGGCTGTTTCTCAACCTGATGTGAGCAACATTGCAGCATCACCTTCAGTGGAGTCCAACGAAAGATTTGGGGTATTTCAATCCTCTGAACAACCTGCTGTTAATGCTCAGCTACAAAGTGGCGGAGTACCTCTATTTCAAGCTGGTTTTGGGTGGAACAAAAAAGAAGATGGCAATACTAATGAACACTTTCCTAAGGTAATTTAGTATTATCAACTGAGTTGATAACTTAAATTGGCCACCATAAAGAGTTAAAAGCTGATGTTTTGAGCATTAGCCCTTTGTCAGAGTGATGGTAGGTAACTGTGGGTTGTGTGAGTGTTTATATGCAGAAAATGGAGCTATGCTATAGATGAAAATATGGTGACAAGCAAACAAGAGTATATTGGTTTAATGAAAAGTACTTGTTGATACCATGGGGACTAAGAGTGCCAATTTGAAATATATTAAATTTTTGCTCTAGAGTTGTATGGCTTTCCAAACTGCCAAGATGTTGGAAAAGGCCACAAACTGCCATATGCTGCTTAGAATCATTAGATTGTCTAGCAACTGGTTTAGATGCATCCATGTTATTTCTTTCTATGTCGCAAAGGTGTTCTTGGAATTGGTCACCTTAAGTCGTCTTCCTGTTTCACCAATGTATAACTTTTTGCAATAAGTACAAGTTATGCAGTGGACAATATTGGTGAAGGTACACGTGAACTGATCAGTGATCTTAATGGATCTCTTGGGTCCTGACATTTTCTCTACATTATGAATGAAAATTCAAGTTTTGCATTGTGCATTTCAAAGTTCCTCATTGGTCATTAATGTGAAATAAAAAAAGTTGCTTAATATGTTGTTGTGATGTTTGAATGAAATTGGTGGAGACTGCAAAAAGATAGTACTAGTCTCTGAATCATTTTGAATTAATTTAAAGTTTTTAAAAATGATAGATTTAACTGTGTGGTTGTAAGGGTGAAATGTCTGAGTGAATGGAATGTAATCAATAATTCCCTTCTCAACCATTTGTAGTGCAATTTGTTGAGTGTGGTGGTGGCCTGCTTGAACAACAGAGACAGAATAGCCATGTTTTGTGAAAACTGGCACATTGCCTCTGATTTTTCCTAAGGAAGCTGATAAACCTTCATGGTACTTTCTTTGGAAATAACAAGCATATCCCATATCCCATACCTTTAACCTTAGGTGTGATCAACCAAACCATGTTTGAACATGTGTTCCTCTTTCAATTTCATCCATAGGAGGATGAGTTTGGTGATTTCCAAGGCCAGACTTACCAGAATAAAAGTCTACAACAGGATGACTTGGGAAATTTCAAGAGCAAGGCAACTTTATTTAGCATGACAACTGAGGTGAACAAAAACTCCAGCCAAATAAAAGATAATGATTTTGGTAGTTTCCAGACAGGAAGTAGTCAGACAAGTCTAGGTTTCAATGATCCTCCTATGCTTACTTCAAAGTCCTTAGAGGAGGATTTTGGTGAGTTCCAGACTGGGAAGCAATCTGAGACTTTTCATGCTGCTCCTTTGCAAGAGTCAAAAAAACAAGACCAGCTGCAAACCACTGTACAAGAATTTGAAAATTTCAAAGGGAGTGGAAACCTTGACAACAAGATTAAGACATGTGAAGTAAAGGAAGTTGAATTACCTCCCAGAGCAGCTCTCAGTAACTCTTCTGAGTTTGCAATAAGCAATGGTGACAACAACCTGGTGGGAATGGATGACTTTGGTAACTTTCAGCATAGTCCAGGACCGATTTCTAACAAAATTGGTGTAAGTTCTAGTTCTCATGGTACTGAAAAGCTTGCTTCAGCCCTGGAAAAGTTTAAACTCTCCAGTCATTCTCCGCCATCTGGTTTTGGAGGTGTTGAAAGTCAAAGCTTGCCAAGATTTGAAGATGGAGGAAGAAAATTAACTGAAAGAAAAGAACAGGTTGATAATACCAAGCAGGAGTCCAAAGGAAACCAGAGCAGCTTTGTAGGTTTTCCAATGTTGGTCAGTGACCCTCCTCAAACCACTTGTTTGACTAAGAAAACTGAGGACAGATATGGTGCCATTAGAGATGCTGATTTTAGCTCTGGAGATGGAATTTTCAATGTTCAGCAGACAGCAGTGATGGAAGGTGCATTGGATGATGATGGATTTGCTGATTTTGGAGGCTTTGAGGTAGCTGACCAATTTAAGTCTGGGAACAACAATGACTTTGGGGAATTTAAATCTACAGATGCTTTACAGAGTCAGTCCTTTGGTGTGTTTGGAAATGCTCAACTGGATCCACAGCCTACAACAGCTTCTGTTGAAAATCATAATAATGATTTTGGTAGTTTTAACTCATTTGGCAAGACAAATCTGGCTAAACCTGCACCTGGAAAAGATGATCATGATGAATTTGGGGCATTTGGGTCATTTGTTACAGGTCCATCAAATGTTAGCAGCAGCAGACCACGTTCCTCTTCTAATAGTGACTCACTCATTAACTCAGTGTCATTGGAGCCTTCAGAACGTTACAAGGTCCTTTCACATGATTCTGGGGTATGTTACATAGATTTTTCTTTGTTGTTTTGAAATCAGCTGATTGTTAAGTACTTTCTTCAGTATAGTTAAATAATTTTTTTTGGTTGTTCAGTTGAGTGTCTTTTTCTCTGACATGGCAAGGAGAGGTCTCAATTTCCTTTAGACATCTTTGATTTGTTTGTTTTAACCATAACACTTGAAGGTGGGTCTTGAGCTGGTAAACTGAGTTGTTCTGAGCACATCATGACTATTTTTTTCACTTTTAAATGGTACCAAAGAGGTATCAACTTTAATCCTCTGCTTTCTCTTGTCATTTGAGGCTGAAGAGATGCATTTGTATGTAAAAGTCAATAATAAGTATGCCAAGATACATTCAAAACATCTGATTTTCATCTCTAGCTGAAAATATGATAAATTAGTTTATTGGCATAGTGATTGTTTAAGGCTAAGGGAAAATTGATGGATAATTTTTGTTCAGGATGTGGATCAACATGCAAATACATGGAGCCGTTGTCTTAACAGCTGCCTTTTAACATTGGCAACTGCTACATTGTCAATTCAGAAAATGGTTGAGCAATCTGTGAAGGAGGAGGTCCTGGGGTCCAAAGAAGGAGCCACATATTTTTCAGGTATTTTTGGTGGTGTAACTTTGGATGGTGGAGAAGATATGGGTAAAAATATTTTTGGCAAAGGATATGTGTTTATCAAGTGGTATACATGAAGTGCAAACTTGATTGGAGAAAGAAAGGAGGTAGAGGGACTTGAAATGAGTGAAGATAGCAGATTTTGTAGCATAATTATTTTCAAACATTATCAAATCTCATGTAGATTCAAAGAAAGTAGTTCGTGTTTCAAGCTTGAGTAGAACTATTCAAACTTGTAGGACTTATTAGAGAAACATAATTGTGTTGATAACAGATTGCTTAAATCTGATAGGTTCCTAGCAACCCTTATTTGCAGGTTAATGAGCTGTTGCAGGACCAGCTGACTTTCTGATTTGGCCCGTTCAATTACAAACAAGTTGTGGACAGTTCAACAACCAATTACTATTAAAGAGTAAATGTTACCACCAATTTAGATGTAACAACCCAGTCAGTGCCAACCAATTAAAATTAAGAACAAATCATGAGTGACAGCAGTCTTATGCTTTAGCTAGAAACAAAAATGATTCAAATAATGATGTGTTGCTGAGAAAAATGGGAAAAATTTTCAATTGCAAAAGTGTACAATGTGAGAAATGTAATTTTAAATGGATGTTATTAGGATCGTATGGTCAATAAATTTGTTGTTGACACAATGAGTAATGCAACTTCATGTGTACATTTCAAGGGTACCTATGCAAATAATTGTAAATCAGTCTCAAGCTCCTTGTTCAGCCAGTTTGAGGTTACTAGCTCAATTACTCTTCGAATTGTCCAATCAGTCCTTTTTGGCCAGTCAGTCCTTTTCCACTTATTAGTAATTGAAGATACAGCATTTCTCACTAGTGATGTTTTGTTACTCTTGTAGCCATAGTTGAAATTTACAGAGTTACACTAAGGATAAATGCATCAGTAACCAAATCAGGTAGCTCTTTTGACTTTCTTCAGATCTTTGTAAGAATTATTATGCTTGTTTAGTATAAAAAAAGAGATTTGTGTATATGAAAATAAAATGAAAACAGGAAAATGATAAGTAAAATGAAATTATGAGGATTAATATAAGTCCAGACAACTTTGTGATAAGGATGTTATGTATGAAATACTACTGAAACAGAAGTTTACCATGTTATGTTTAGAGTGGTGAAATGAGATTGCTAGAAATTAACAGTGCTTGTTGAGGCAACTTCTCATGAATGTGGAAACAAAGTGTCAGTTAAAGCTGCAATTAATATCTGAGGAGGAATTAGTTATTGGTAGAAGTTATTAAGTTGTGACAATGGGGCATTGTTTGATACTTATTTTTCTTTTCTCAAACAAGTTGCTGTTCACTGAATATTTAATGCCTTGTCTTTCCACAGCACCAAATAACACAAAGCTGAAAGATATCCACCAGGAGATTGAGAGCACATGGAAAAACATTGCAAACTTCCTTTCTGGTTCCACCCTTTCAGTAAGCAGCTTTTTTTTAGTAGTTATTGGCAAACTTTGTATCCATAAACAAATGCTTAAGAGTGGATTTTATACTACAACAAAACTTTTTAAAATTTCACTAGCTGCACAACTAAAATTAATTAGGGCTAACTAAACATGCTGGCCACAGAGAAACAAAAGGGGGTCCAAATTGTTAATTATAAATATTAATACAGCCAGAACCTCATGACACAGCCCTGTAACCACCTATGGTTCTGTTACCAACCATTGTTCTACTTTCCAGCTTAAAAATTTTATTTGACAGCATTATTTACCCTAGTCATCATTGTCATTAGGTCCATAAATGGCATTCTGATGACCAAGCGCAAGCTGATTTTGAGCTAAATAAGCTATATATGTTAGGCAGACAGTTATGTAGGTAACCAGAAGGGTTATCCATGGTATCTAGACAATTACCTAGGTTAACCAGATGGCTCTTTATGGGAACCAGACAGTTATTGTTAGTAACCAGACAAATATAGTGTATTGGCAACCAAAACAGTCATCTTGGGTAACCAGAGAGTTATCCATGAAAACCAGACAGTTATATCAGGTGAAGAGACAGTAATATCATATTTGGTAACAAGAAATATATCTTGGTAACCAGACAGTTCCATTAGTAACCTGGCTGTTAACCATGGTAACCACACATTTATCAAAGATAACCAAACAGTCATCTCAGGTAACTAAAATGTTATCTATGGTAACCAGATATTTATCTCAGGTAACCAGATAGTTATCTCAGGTAACCAGATAGTTATCTAAGGTAATGGAACAGTTATCTTTGGTAGTCAGACAGTTGGGGATGGTAACTAGAATGGCTTACATGACTAGTTAGCTCATGGATACTACAGATTTGAAGACATACTTAGTTCTCTATCAAATCTCATTTTATTATTAGTTATGACATTAAGCCTCTCTTTGCATTCATTATCTAACAATGTTTTACTTGTTTTCTGTAATGATAGCCACCAAGGAGTAGTTTAGATTTCTCAACCCATCATGTCTCAGTTAGTGAAGATGGACGTTCAGCTTGTGGAATTTGTCTTTTGAATGTTGACAAGGGTTCACAAGATTCATCCAAACACAGTGATGGGAAACTCACATATGGAGGCAGACAGTACCATTGCACATGTGCAAACTTTTGGTGTAATAGAGTGGATTCTGTTCTTCCTGCTCTGTTGCCAATTAACAGTTTAATATAACCAGTTGTTTTTACTGGCCATGAATGACATCAATGTCCAGCATCAATACACAATCTTGATACTGTAATGTTACAGCTATAGACTTGAAAAATACATTGTAAGAATTAGAAAGTAAAATAAATTTCTGCAAAAGTGCACAAACCTTCAAAAGTTAACCCAACAATCCATCTGTTGGGAAGAATAACTGCTTGTAATTTAAGAACATTCAGGTTTAAAGTAAAAAATGGTAGAAGGCTAACTGACAAATTAAACAGAATGGAATAGTAAAACATGTATTTTAGATAAATAAGGTTGATGAAGAATACTAAAGTATCATCCATCAGTATTTTAATCATAATTTATTGGAAAGATATAGTGAATATACTTGTTAGGTTGTGAGGTTTTGGTAACTAGAATTCCAATCCAGACTTTTCATTGGATCGAAGAATCCTCTTTTTGCATTAAATATGGTTAGCTTGTTGTTGTCAAAAAGTTCATAATTATTTGAAGTGAATAATGATTATGATAGTAATAAAGTACTCTTGACTCTCACAACATTTTTGCTTCTGATGTGGATTACAATGCTTCAGCTGCATACTGCAAGTATTCAGACGAGACAGTGGACTCGTTAGGGTCACCTTATGAAGTTTGATCTACGTTAATGAGTGACTGGTTCTCAACAGAAAGGCAGATTGTGATTGTGCCATTTGCTTCTGCCCCTGGTGGGTCTTCTGGTCTCACCTATACAAACTTTCCCACATAAATCAAGTCTTCTTTAGGCAGGTCAACACCAGCTTTTAGGTGAACTGAGTGTAATCAATGTTCTGTTACACACTTGAAAAAGGGCTTACAACCTTTTGATGAAGGTAGCAGCAAGGTTGTGTGGACAGACCTCTTACACATGGTAAAACCCCAAATGAAAATTAAGATATTAAGTCATATTTTGGAGCTAAGCAGACCTTAGAGGATACTTTGTTCACATGACATAGTAGGATATGATAAAAAAACCCATTCATTATGGTGCACAGATACCATGGATTAGACTCGAAAGAGAGTACACATCTTAAATAAACAGCTTTATTAATTAATCTCCCATGTAAACCTTTTAAAATCATGCAACGTAAATTGTAAGACACTTTGTAAGGTGCTTTCTGCTAAGCCAAAAGGCTCAAAATTTTGTATAATTTACTTGTGGATAGTTAGCATGGAGAACAAAAACCAATTTTATGACTCCCAAACTTAACAAGAAAAACATGCCATCTGTGACTTTTGATAGAGATTCAAAATGTTCATAGTATCATCATCATAATTGATGCATGAAGACTTTTCTTGTAATCTTCCTCTGAATTAAGGTTGATGGTTACAAATCACCTTCATCCTTTGCAACTCTTCAACACATTCTGTAAATTAAGAAAGGTTGATAAATGAGACTAAAATAAGGTTATAAAGTTTGTGAGATTCCAAATTACGGTTTGGCATTACTTTTTGGGTACTGACCTTAAACACAGTATTCACATGATTACTTTTTAAGGTCCTCTCTCCTTCCTCCAGCGCCTTGATACTTGCTTCTGCTGCAAGGCGTTTGAGAAACAGTATGTAGTCTAGAAAAATCTGCGAGAAGAAATTGGTCACACCATTAAGTTAGACTCTGGAACTTACTAACGTACTATTCAAAGTTAATAATTTCAATCAATTTTATGATTTAGTTATTTACATCAATGCTTCCCTCGACGGGCCTAGATTTCTCACAACTGTTTCCACATAAAGTCAAAAACCATAGTAAGCGGTCACTCTTTGTTAAGCGGTCGGCTCTCAAAGTCCCAAAATTTTTACCCCATAATTACTGTAATTTTCATCTTTATTTAGCAGTCACCTTTATTAAGCGGCTATGGTCATCCCTGACTGAATCCCACGGCCTTTGAGTATTGCCCTTTTTGTATTATCAGTAACTTAGATAGCATACAAGAAAGAAATTTTTATTTTTTTTAGCTCGATGAAAGTAAGAGAACTTATGATATTAGCTTAAACAAAAAGTCAAAAGTAACTCAGTCGATGAGAAGTTGCTTGGCGGGAAAACAAATGATAAAAAGTTTCGGATTCCACACTTGATGAGAGAACTGATCTTATCTCACCAAAATGTCAGCATTCCGTGACAGCCTTGCTTTCTTCTGATATTTCTTAATGATTGATTTCTGTCTGACCCTTGGAAATGTTCTTTCCATCTTGGCTCACGTTGAGGATGTGATCATGAATTTCGTCTTTCCCACCCTGCAAGAAGTGAGCCAGCGATCATCTGAATATTCCATTTTCGGTCGAGAGGTGAGACGGAATATTTAATTGCAAAACAGCAGAGGGGATTCCATCCAGTTCCAAAACCACCAGTTTTCGAATAGTCGAGAGTGGGACTGGATTTGTGTTCGTTGGAATTTTTAATGACTTGCAAAACAAGCGATCGATACAGAGGACGTTATTTGTGAAGGATGTAGGAGGGCTGTAGAAGAACACAGGCGAACTGGAAATTCGTTTCAGCATGTTAGTGCTATCTCATGTTATCACTGAACACTTGAAGCAAAAATTAAAATTTAACCTAAGTTTTTTTTTTGTTCAAAAGTTTGTTGACATGAATCGCAACCAACGGGGACGAATACCCAAACACAAAAGATCAATGTTGAGTAAAGAAAAGTCAGATAGCAGTAGTACTAGAGAGATGGTAGTTGTATCCAGGGAGAGTTTATTAGAAATGGAGGAAAAATTACGGATTTTATCAGCGAGTAAGTAACCTTTTTTCAATCATTTGTCTTGGAAATTCCAGATTTGGAAGCTGAAATTAGCAATATTAGACACTTTAAAATCTACTTTGAAAAAAAGGAACGCATCTTCAAATAAGTTTATAAGGTGACAAATTTCATTTAAAATTGAATACTTTATTTGGACCAAACTACCCCTGAACCAAAACATATAGGAATTGCACCATTTGTGGAGGAATAGTTGCGAAGGCATCCTCAGCTTCTGAATGGCATGTCTGAAAGGATAAGAATATGCAAATTAAAACCAGTCAAACTTTTGGGCTTCCTGTTGAAATGTAAATTACTGAATAAAGATTGCTGGCCAATTCCAACACTAACCCCCACTGGTTAATGTGTTGTGTTGGTAACTTCAATCTTCGACCTTTTTAAATAACAAGCATTTTGTAACAACCTGATGGTCTGACAAGACTCTTATTACAGGCAATAAAAACAAACTTGTACAACTGATAGTATCCTTGATACTGAAAGTCAAACTTATTTCCATAGCTTGTATCCCCCAGGAACAAGACTGAACAAAACTAGATGACTAAATCAAAATAATGAGAAGAGTTTTGTTAACCTCGCTATGATATTATACATTGTGGCAGAAGTAGTAATGAAACTTGTTTTTGAGAACTACCATGAGGCTTTCACACAATGAGCCCCTAATTATTATGACTTGCGACAATATGAAATTGAGATTTCAGTTGAATGCAAATTTTATTTCCCACCCAATGTAGGATGCAATATGACAGAGGAAATAGCATTGGTCAAGAAAAAGATTTATGATGACATAGTAGTTAACAAGGCAGAAACAGTGTATGATCCAGACAGTTTTAGAGAGTTTTGCATATCAGCGGGTGCAACAAAGTTATTCGACACTATTCTGGATTCAGTCACTGGTTCTCGGCATTCCACAGACCGCATACATCTAAACAAAAAAAGGGTTGTTTCATTCATTTACAATTTGTGCTACTGCCTCAGCCAAACATGCAATCCTCTTCAAATGGATCATGCTCTTTATCTCAAGAGTAATCTCATAAATCAAGAGGGCATTGAAACAGAACATATCATGGGGCATGCATGTTCCAGAAGAACTTTAAACAATGTTATGCACAAAATGTCACAGTCTCATTTCAAATCTTTTGAAGATTTTATAACCACAGCTACAGATCGCAAATGGCTAATAGTGCTAATAATTGATGATTTCACAGCTATTCACACAAAAAGAAGACCACAAGAGGAAAAATTGTCAGAGGCAAAGACAATGTGTACCATAGTTGTCAAAGCTTTTAAAGATATTCCAGCTGTACCTGTAACGCATGCCCTTTGTACTCATGACCAAAATGGTATAGATATTGAAGCATGCATACAACTAATTACTGCTGCATCATCCATGCACAACATCAGTGAGAGTTATGCTTCTGTGATGCCTGACTGGCTCACCAACGCATTTTTTAATCCTGAATTTGAGAGACATAGAATCCACATTCATCAATACTGTGACAGTGACAATAAAGTAACAATGCGCAAAATGGATGATTTGCACCTATTAGATTTTGTAGAACTGAGACTGAAGTCAAAGGGGGACTTTGATACTGCCTATGATGTAGCAATGCACACTGGCTTGGCTGCTTATTTAAAGAAATTTATTGTTTTTCAGCCAGGAGATTGGCCATGCCAATTTTATTGTAGACAAATCATATACGAATCACTTAAGAAATTTGTCAGCTCTCATCCAGGATTTTCAGACACTCCTCTGCAACAGGACAATATTTTACCTGATCATTCCTCGTATTCTTTTCCAATGACATCTGGTACTACTGACAATCTCTTGAACAACAGCTTGCCACAAGCAACATCACAGTCATCCATTCTGTCATTAGTACCAACTATTGGGCCACTTCACATTTCTCTAAACAGCAGAGAACACATTGTTCATTCCTATCATCCATTTTTCAAAACAGTTTATGAAACAATTTTCCCAAGAAGCAAATTTGCAGATAATCCCAAACCCTGGAGGATTAGTCTGATTCTTGAGATTGTTTATGGTGGTTGGACACTTATACGCCGCACTGTGATGTCAAAGTTCTCCCGCTTCAAGGATGCAGAGTATGGGACCCTATTCACTTTACTAGACAGCTATATACCTTTGGTGTTGTCGATATATAGCATTTCTTTCAAACTTAACAATTTCTCTGAGTATTTTCGAGCAATGATCAGGATTTGGATCATGTTTACTTGCCTTCAACGCAGGCACTATAACAAAGCACCACTTATTTGGATCAACATGTGCTCTCACTGGGGAAAACATGCTCCACAACTGTATAATATACTAAGGAATTACATTGCCATTTTTGATGAATATCTTGTGGAAAACACTCATAGCATACTCCATTCATTGACAAAAGGTTCTGATTCTGCTGATGAACTTAGAAAGAGAGCAAAGTCCATTTTCCAGTCAAAGGGTAAACAATCAGACTACAGGTCATTTTTCATCACAACTAGGCAGTTTTCTTTCTCACACAACCAACTTCGCTTACTAAAAGTGAGATGCACTCAAGCACTGTCCTCCATGTTTATAAAAATCTCTCAGAGTCAATTCTCCTCAAACAACAGCTGCAACACAAGTGTTCCAACTCATGTCATACTGCCAACAATGTCCCCCAACAAAAATATGAAGATGACTGTTTACCTTTAGGGTATCACTGATATCAAGCCAGATCAAACAAAAAAATGTCATTTACCTCTGTGTAACATTTCCAGCAAAGATGAGAGTTGGACCCTCCTGCATGGTTGTTTTCATTCATTCATTCCATGATGTTTGTCTTGATGGATCAACTTCGTAGTTTCACACTGTGTAAGGAGTTTCTAAAAAAAAATGAAAGAGTTTGGTGAGACAGCTAATAAAGCAATTTTACATCTGGCATCTAACATGCATGAAACTGAATCCCAAACTAATCACAGCAATGAAACATCAGCAGTGCCAACATATTTATAAACTGAAATCCCTGGGGGAGAAGAAATTGAGAGGGAAGAGTTTGATAGGGTTGTCAAACAGTTAAACGATGAAATTTCCAACCTAAATCCAGCAACTCAACCACTCACATCTTCCAACCTTAGCCAGAGTCACACTTACAACCAAACCACACCTTCAACCAATAAGGCACCTCCTCACTGTAGACAATGTCACCATCCTGTTCATGGACACAAGAGGCTTAACAATGCACAGGTCAAATGTTGTTTCTGTGAAAATGGTACCTGCACAGTTAGTGATGACATCAGTAGCTCAAATTGCCCTTGTTCATGGCACACAGCAAACCAGCATGAGAGTTATCAGAGTACTTGCAACAACCAGTCAGCTTCATTACCAACACCAGATTCTCAAACCACTCTTGGCAGAAATGTCACAATTGCACAACATCTTGACGTAACTGAGTGGCTACTGCCCTCATACATTTGCCAGTCCTCCATTGGTGGAAGACCTAGTGGTAGTAATACCTGCACTGTAATTGCAGTACTTGCTGCACTTGATTTTCTGGAAGGAACCCTTCAAATTCCCATGCAGTTACAAGACCTCAACATTACTATACCTATGTATACTAATGTCATGATAAAAGGAAATCATTTATATGACTCTTTCAACCTGCCAGTTCAGCAACCAAATTTGGAAGTCAGACAAGTCCTTCAGCATGGAAAAAATGATAAACATTTGAAGAAACTTGAAATCACTTCAGACCTGGGTTTCTTTACTGTGAGAGACCTTGAAGACCACCTCACACAACACCATCATATGCATCCATCATTTGCAGCTGTATTGATTGTGCCACCAGACAAGTCAATGGTACTCTGTTTCAATCAGACAAGTATTTGTCTTTTTGAAAGTCACACTCATGGTCTCCAGGGGGGCATTATTGCCACCAGTTCCCCTGGAAATGTCAGCCACTTTGTCAAATATCTAGAAAGGATGGTTATGCGAGACTGGAAGAATGGATTACATGGATCAAACATAGCAGTTTTAAAGCTGAAATAAATTTTGAAAAAGGTTTAATTAGACATTAGAAACAGAACAAGCAGGATTATGATAATTGAGTACTTGTCCATTTGTTGTAACAAAGCAAGTTTGATTAAGTTAGTCTGTAAGCATCGTCTAAAACTTTGACTTAAAACTAATTTCGCAAGGCAGAAGCATTTTTGTGAAATAAGCATGACAGAATAAAGCTGACGTCATTCGTATCGTAAAACGAACATAGAGAAAGCGTCACCTGTTTAAACTCGTGAGGAAGAGTCCACTGATTTTTAGGGGTAATTGGACTAGTTTGACCGAAAGCCAAATTAATAAACAATTAACTGACAGTGGTGAGGGCTTTGGGGGCAAGTGAGATAAATAAGTTCTATCGAAGTTTTTCCTCCATTTAGCACCTGAAGCCCAAAAAGCAATTGAAAAAATTCCCACTAAAACTCAGGAAAAGATAAGCTTAAGCCGGAGTTGATGAAAACCAAACTATAACCGGTGCTAAGACACATGCCTACCTACTATGTTCAACAGACTTGGAGAGCAAAAGGGCCAAAGACAGTTGTGAGCCATGACTTGGAAAATCCACCTAAACCTGCCAAAAACGAATTCGCCGAAGGTTGTTGTAAGAGCAACTCAATCCTGAAGCTGGATGATTTTTTTAAAGCCTTGTGTCTAATGTGACTACAAAGAGAAAGAAAAGATGACGTTATCTGAAGTGATTTGAAGCTTGGGGCCACCTCGAACTTAACGCAATTTTATTTCAAAGTTGAAGTAAATTAAGATCACGTTCTAAATTAACTTCTTTCATCGGATCAAATATCTCACGATCGTCTTCGAATACAACTTTGTGATTTTTACAAGTAAAACATCGACATCTTAAGACTAACCTCCAAGGTTTGCTGTCTCATCTACACATCTTGATCTTCAGTAAATCAAATCTCAAACTTCCAGTTTTCGGGCTTTTTTTCGTGTTTTGTTCGTACTTTGATCATTAAAATATCCTCATCAGAGGGGCCAGCAAACACCACGAGTATTCACAGAGTTAGAAATATTGGTATACTTGTCATTTTCTTTCATCCCTCTCCAAAAAGTATTATAAAAAAGTGTCGATCGCCCAGTTGAAAACCCGCAGAAGCGCGCTGAACGTATCACAATGGCGCCGAACGCGCCGAACAAAATTCTACTGGCGCATGCGCAGCAAAATGCCCCTCTGCTTTGCAAAACATAACCGAAGATTCTCGGAAATCCGCAAGTGATGTAGCCGAACATCCGAAGCTGTAAATCCCATGATTCTTGAGGAACAAACAGAAACAGCATAGCGAGAATTTTAAGTCGCGAACCATTGCTTGATGGTAGACATGCAGATAATTTAGGATACGTAAATTCTGTTGATGAGGCGCATAAACTTATTGCGGAATTTGAAACAGGATTGACGACGAAGTTTTCTTTCTTTAAAGCTGTCAAAGGTTTCGGGAACACCGGTGTATATATATATACATATATATTGATATAGCTCTTTGGCATTACAAAGCTTTGCTATCGCTATTGTGCATTCTCACTAGTTTATCTAGTTCAAGTCCTCTGGCATGGCTTGGATGATACCACAATTGTGGAATCATTCGGGTTAACTTAATGCTTACATCTCCTTCCTCGGACAGAAGTCACAAAATACTGGGGGAAGATGCATGAGATATTTAAGGAGCATAAATTCGTTTTTTTCACTGGTGTGCCTTTCCTAATTTTGGGAAGGAAAGTGTTCAATTGCCAACACGGCATAGATAAAACAACTGGAGAGAAAAGGAAACGAAAAGATGCAGAAGAAGTACTGTGTATAATAATTTCTTTTTATCCTCAACCTTTGTGTTACTGTCAACTATGGCTTGCTAATTCGAAAGGTCAAATACATGAATGGGTCATATGACATCGATCTCAGAATACTTTTAGGACAAACGTGATAACACTTCAATCTTGGCTAAATTGAAGATGGTTTAGAAGTTAACAATTATAAGAACTTTTCACTAACATATGCTGCTGACAAAGGAGAAAATATATGCAATTCTGCATTTTTTGCTTTCTATCAAGCAATCATATGTTGGCTCCTTATCATGCTATGACACTTCCGTTTTGTCACATTCCAAAAAATAACTTGAGAAATACACTGTCACTCATCTTACACTGTTATATTTACCTATTACAGAAGGCCGAAAACAAAGATTTTGTTTTCAAGAAAATAAGATTTCTTTTCCAAGACACAAGGAAGTTTGACTGCAAAGCACAGATAAAAATGCAATAAATTTTATTTTTTTCAGAGAACAAGGTAGTTATACTCATGTATAAACAGAACAAATCCGGTTTAATAAATCAGATATGAGGCATGACTCCTTTTCTTCCATCCCCACTCAAAACAAGCAAACACACCTATATAGGTTCCAGTCTGGTCTGCAAATGAAAAGGAGGAAGGTGATCACTACTAAATTAAGCATTAGGGTTCTTATTTATAACATATTGATTATTGTATACTGGTATCAAGAAATTAAGGTTACAAGTAGCAGCCAGCTGAGTTATAGTTTGAGTTTTATCAAGTCCATTACTTTGTTAAATTTAGAGTAACCTTGTCTTGAGAGAAGGAAATTGAGGAGCTGTAATATACTTATCATCAATTAGGGACCACAAAGAAAAAGTTATTTATAGAGACTTTTGAAGGAGAGGGGTAAGACTTGTGACAAGCTGGCAGACATATAGATAAACTTTACTGCTAAATGGGTTACAATACAAAGTGCTCAGTATTTGGATCAGCTATGGCTCAACTTAAACTTTGCTTTAGCTTCAAGTTTAATCCTTTGTGGTTTTTTTTCTCTGTGTTTATTTTTCAAGTTATATACACAGAAGAACACAAAAATGACAAGGAATGCTTTTGAATATTAAGAGGCTGGAATAAGCAAGAAACCAAAACTGAATTTTAAACAGTACAAAGTTCATTTGATCTTCCAATGTTATTTAATTTTAACCATTAATAGAATTTGCTATTTAGATTTATCCCCTCCATTTTTCTGGATATTGTGAGCAAAAACAAACAATTATCACAAAATGCATGGTATACAATGGTTTGATTCACCAATGTGGCAAAGGCCTTTCACTGTCTATCCATAAAAAGGGAAATAGTTTGTAAAATGTAAGACATTCTGCATCTTGAGTGTATACTTATTCATCCATGCAAAATTAAAGGTTACTTTAAATAAATGTGAAAGATTGATAGGATTATCAGACCCCTGAAAACAATTACTGATGTGCTGATTTGTTGTACTTAAAGGTTATGATTTTAGCGGAAATAGTGGAAGAAATTTCTGGACCTGGAATTTTGTTGCAAATGTCTGTTTAAGTCAGTTTAAGTCAGTTATAAACTCTCCTGTTTCAAGATTACATGATTGCCACACCAGAACCTTTTGTATTCTATATTGTGCACCATGTTATGGTTATGGTTTCAATAATAAAAGGTGCTGACTCAAGAACTTTGCAAAATATCTCTACATACAAAGAAATAGATTGTGGTTATGTACTCCAAATAGCAGGTCACACCAGTCTTCTGTAAGGAAGTAGCAGAAATTGCTATGGTGGTTTTGGTGGATGGAAAGAAACATCCACCAAAACCACTTTATTCTATGTGTTAAGAGTTATGATAATCATTATGAACGTTTGGTCGGTCAGCAATTGTGCACCATAAAAAATAATTAGCCAGAGCACTAACTACAAATTAGTGGTATAAATCTTTTGTCTCCCTGAACATCTAACAGTGGCTATAGATAAAATTAAAAAAATATATTGTTGATGGTTTTGGTCAAAGTTTTGGTGGATGTTCCCTAATGTCATCCACCAAAACTACGTAACATCTGGGCACCTTTTGAATACGTGAAATATCTGCATAAAATTGCGTAAAATGTTTTATGATACTGCAATCGAACAATAAATTAATACTTACCATTTCTTGAGTAAAAAGTTTTGACGCAATTTCCCAAACAAATAATACACTTAGGTCATCGGGATAAGTCGGCATGTTGTCGTAGCTTCGTAATTTTAATTTAGTATAACAAGTCATGAGTTGTCCATCATTCCATCTCAGTCCCTCTCGACCAAGGTGGTTTTGGTGGATGGAATCTAATGCTGACCTTTCGTGTATTACTCAAGAATGAGTCCGTCGGTAAGGACATGATGAGGGACGCAGGGTTTGATTTCGACGACGAAATCTTTGGAGCAACAACTTGTAGGGAAATCAGGATTGAACAGGTATACGAACCAAAGCAGTGCGATTCCGAGGTGTGTACACAGTAACTCAGGAGTGATACTGACGGTTATTACGGACAAAGTAGAAAACGTTTTACTTACGTGACCGGCATTCATGTACAGTGTAATTGTTTCTTGAACCATTCGGATATTTAATGTATTAGATGCTTCTCTCGTAACAATGGTTTGCACCTATTCTATAGTGTCGTCGATCTGCCACTGCGTAAAAGCAAATCGTTACTAAACCATTGGGACCATCGTACCATGTTAGATCTTCACTATGCAAATCTGTAGGTTGCCAATTCCAATTCTGACTCTTCCCTATGTTTTTGAGTACAAGCAACATTCTATTACAGAAGCTGCAGTCTGATTTGTGACTACTTTTCACCTCTAAGCAGCCAATTTTAACTTACTGCAGCCAATGCGAAACGAACGTTCGACCATTTTGTGGTATATCAACAGAAATAACCCGCCTTTTTAGGTTTCTGCGTGGTATACACTAAAACGGTTGTTCAACTCAGTGTCAGTGAAAGTGGTGGATATTTACCTTCACTTCAGTGATAAAAACCCTCTTTATCTCCAGAGATCTGATTATTAATTCTTCCCTCTAGCTGCTACCATTTCCATGTAAATTAGTTAGGAGAATCGATGTTAGATTAACAAAACAACTTCTACCTGCAAAGTTTGAGTATTCTCTTTACCTGTTTGCCAGATAATATATGGACACTTTAAGGAGAAGTTACATGTTAGTCACCTCTGGGAGTTAACGTATTGATTTTTAATGTTTTAGGGATAAGTGATGTAAATATTTTGCTCTAAAAATTTGACAGGCTGTGTGGGAGAAATTCAAAATGCATTTTTTTAGCACTGCCCTCTGATTTGTTATGAGTAGATGCAATGATTTTCTTTTGGATGTTCCTTATTGTAGTGGTTTATGAAGTTCCATGTGAAGGATGAAACAGAGAGACAGATTATAAAGAAGTACCAGGGGGATTTGTTTTTTCAGAAGCATCAGTATTCTGAAGCTCTCTCCGTGTATCAAGAGTCTCTGCAGTGTTTGACACCAAATAATACAGTTCTAGAATGGGAGTTAACAGAGTCTATGGCTTTGTGCTTACTGAAACAAGATAAGCCTGATGATGCCTTATCTCTTGTCAGGGGGATGATGGTGAGTTGTTTAGTTTTGCTTCTGATTAAAGGAAAATTTAAATTAATCAGACCATGTTAAATAAGGATTATGCAGTTAGTAAAAAGTACTATTCATTAGCTAAGAATTGTCATTGGTACATAAGGTAAGTAAATGAGTACCAGTAAGAGGCTAACAAGTTTTATGAACCTAGTTCATGGCAGTTGTTGATAGTTTATGGAAAGCGTGATATGTACTTGCACAGCTTGCTTGTTTCTTTGGTGTTTTGCTTTTTTTTTTTATCAATGCCATCTCTTGCTTCTGGCAGTCATGTTTTCAGAGCTTTCTCTGCTTTTTATTTATTCTTCTTCCTTCATTTGAGCATGTTCAAACTGTGTGATAGTTGATTACAGGTGATAAAAGTGTGAGAAATGTGTTTCATTTGTTAGTTAGAGTTATCAACATTTATCAGGCTGCTTCATCAAAGTGTTAGGTGAAGAGTATCTGTGTCTGCAGGAAAAGTTAAGCACATGAGAATGAAAAAGGAAACAGTCTTTTTATAAGTCTATTTTCCTAGTTGTGCTCTTTATCTCAGAGATTCTTTTTGTAGAGGCCAGAGTTAATTTGATTTGTAAAAGTTTTCCCAAATCAAAATTATTATAATTGTAACATACTGCTAAACAATTTTTCTATTACGACTCCCAAACAGCATGTCAACCAAGAAAATGAATCATCATACTGGTATTTACTGTACCAAATTTATAGAGCCATGGGAAATATTGAAGGTACTGGCTAAAGATTTTGAGCTACATCTGAATATGTCTAAAGAAAAGTACTTGTAAATTAGCTGGACAGTTTTCCTTTAATTTTCAATGTTACATTCAGTAGAATTGCAGTCTGCAATACCATTTATTTGTTTTTCATTTGGTAGGCGAAATAGAAACTCTTCAAAGATGTGCAACCCTTCACTCCTGGAATGCTCAGTTTTGGTTCTCTTTAGCTCTGGCATATGAAAAGGCATCTGTTAGCTGCAGTAACCTGTGTCAGGATGAAGATGTAACAAAAGTTGAAAGGGAAAGAATTTCTTTTATGAAGCATGATCCGGCTATAGAGAACTGCACAAAAAGGCATTTAAATGGAGAAAGTCAGTCTCAAGAAGGGTGTTGTATGTGTACAACAAAATGCCCGTGTCTTTCAACTAAAAAACAGATACAAAGTTTGACACAAACAGAACCTTGCTGCCTGGATGAAGAAAAGATAAGAAATCACTCGGCAAATGTGGATACTGGAGAGCAGGACTCCTCTGTTACTCAGTCAGATAAAAAAACAGAACTTCAAGATCAATCTATCTCATGTCTGTGCAAAGGATGTTCAGATTTGCTTGCAGATGGTAGTGATCTCTATTTGTTTTCAAGCAACAAAAAATATCTGCTGGAAGAATGTGAATGTACCAGGAAAAGATTAAAGTGGAGGAATCATGCTCTTTCATTTGGCTCTCTTGTTAAAACTAGGTAACATCATGGTTCGTCTTACTTGTCCATTCATTTCATATAATTATTGCAAAATAGTTAACAAGAATATTCTGCTGAATTTTGCCAAAAATTAGGCTCTTCAAAAATAAGTTCTATGTGAGGTTTATCAGTTGATAAATTAATTGTAAACACGAGAGATTGAAGATGTTCTTTAAATCTTGATAACATTGAAGATGTACATTTTTCTGTCTATTTAGGTTCTTCCTTGAAAAATCTGTAGAGTCGTCTTCATCAAACTGGTCAAAAAATCTGTTAGATGGCTTCCAGTAGACTGACTTAAAGTGTTCTTTTGACCTGGGTTAATTCATTTCCCAAACTCTAAACAACTGTCTCATTAACAGCCAGTAATTTTTTTTGTGTTGTTTTTAGGAGAGCAGATCAGAAACAATGTCCACAGAAAGTGTCACAAAATAAGTTCTATGTGAGGTTTATCAGTTGATAAATTAATTGTAAACACGAGAGATTGAAGATGTTCTTTAAATCTTGATAACATTGAAGATGTACATTTTTCTGTCTATTTAGGTTCTTCCTTGAAAAATCTGTAGAGTCGTCTTCATCATTTGCAAAGGAAAAAAGTAGCATTCTTCTCAGAGAGGTTAACTGTAACTTTTATTACACAAATATGAAAATTCTAAACTGGTCAAAAAATCTGTTAGATGGCTTCCAGTAGACTGACTGCTGCTGTTAAGCAGAGAATAATGATATTGTTAACTCTTTAACCCTGAAGACAAAATTTCTCATTACAATATCAAGCAGACAAGGGATGAGAATAATGAAAATATCAACTAAGAGATTATTAGTTGATTAAATACCAGATTCTCTGAATCAGTATCACAAGAATTAAATGATATACAGTGAGGAGAATTGCTAAGACAATTATTGGTCGGAGTGAAAGGGTTCATTTATCAGAGTTTTTAGAAGGTCATTTTTATGAGTTGCAAAGTGTGGTGGTTATTTTGTGTGTGGTACAAGAGGTCTGTGATAGGCCATCATTATAATTGATAATGATTGACAATAACTAGTATAGAAAAACATTTACCAGTATATTAGTAAGTCTTTGAGCTTTGAATTATTTAGTTTCTCAGAGCATGACCATTGAAGTATGTTCTTACATGATATTATTATTACCAGGTGAATAGCAAGATTGCAGGTCATGCAGAATGTGGTTGTGCCCACCTGATTGAAAAAGTCTTGGAGGTAAAGTGGAACCTCTAAATATCATCACTGTCAGGGCACAATAACATGCAGGGTTGTAAAAATGGGTTGGTTAAATTAATTTCTTAATTTGGTAATGGCACAATTTACATTGGTTGTATTAGTAAGGTAGCCATCCTTTGAAAGTAATTAAAGGAAGGTAGAAACAGTCATGTAATCTAATCAATAACAAATGACATTTTTGCACAAATTGAACATGTAAATTTATTGGTCTCTTTAATGTCCTTGATCAGATCAAGAAGCCACTTTACTATTTTGCCATGCAATAAGTTGATTAATTATTTATAACTCATTTTTGTTTTGTTTCAATTTAATCAGATGTTGTACAGTTCTGTCACTGCAAGTGGACAAACACAGTTAGACCAGGAACAGAGTGAAACAAAACTAAAGGTGGAAGTTTTGTCTTTGTATTTTGAAATTTTTTTGTATATGAGGAACTCTTAAAAAAAGTAAAAAAGATTTTAGAACTTAACATTTGTTTAAGACCTCTAAATTGCATATAACTTTAGAATTCAGCTCCAGAATGAAAGATTCTCTGAATCTGTCCTGTACTAAGCTTCAATTTGGGTTGTGAGTATTAGGTTTAACAGGGGAAATTAAATTTCTATTCCATCTTGATGAGCACTACTTTGAAATAGTAGGCTGGAGGGTTTTTAAAGTGTTCTTTTGACCTGGGTTAATTCATTTCCCAAACTCTAAACAACTGTCTCATTAACAGCCAGTAATTTTTTTTGTGTTGTTTTTAGGAGAGCAGATCAGAAACAATGTCCACAGAAAGTGTCACAAATTCTTATGTGTTTGAACAAAAGTGGTTCAGTGACTTACTCTCCTACATGGATGCAATTTAACACTCTCATTCTATGAAATGTCTTCAGACATTTCAAGTGAATTGTATACTATATAAATAAATTGAAATAAAACAATTATTGATTCAAAATGAAAGGTAATTTTATGCTGTTTTTGTAAGCCAGAATTTTGAATAATCTTATGTATGTTATAGAAACTGGCAATGCATCAGGGCTGTTGTCAATGAGGATTGCCTTCATTTTATTCTAAGAGATAAAGGTGTAAGTCATGTTCAGATCAGAAGGGACAACTCATGTTAATTCAATTTTGGCTACATTGGCTAATCCATCCCCACTAGCCTTTACTTGTTGATAAGTTTGGTGGCTCACCCGTTCATCAATGTATTACAACAGTTTCTTTAGGAACTCATAGCTTTCGTAAATATGAACAGAATAATGCTTATACCCTGCTCAATCAAGTCCTTTAAGAAGTGCTCAACAAACCAATGATCTTGTCTCTACAGGAACTATTTTTACTGCTTGTTTCTTCCTAGAGGTACAATTAAGCCTTGCAGTGGAACCCTTAAAGAAGCAAAACTGTTTTGTTTTAAAAATAATCTCAGTTTCAATCCACCATACAGAGAAAAATATGGGAGAAATTTTACTGAAAACTTTTTTTCCCTCAGTTACAGACATGTAGAGCTTTTTCTTTTGTATTCTTCTATCGAGATGCCCCATCATGACCTTTGTCTGACTAGGTCAACTGAGAGTGAACCCTTGCCCTACTTATTTGCATTGCAGCCCTACGTTTCTCTATCAAGAGGACACTAGGAGTTGAGGTAAATGAAGGACAAAACTCTGTTATTTCAGCTGCTGTAAATTGTTAAGCCCGCAATGCTAAGAAGAGAAGATGGCTGGACGAAGTCTCGTGCCAATATTCCAAGATTTTAGATCATTTCATAGATTAAATGGAACCTTCAGATATGCAGTACGAACGAGACTTTTCAGTAACGGAACGATCCCTCCACTTAACGAGCCTTTACCCAATCTGCCAGCCCCTGGCATGGTTGGGAGAGCAGACTGGCAAAACCGGCACGATCACGTAACACACGTTACTACTCTGGAAAATGGCATCAGAGTTGCATCAGAAGACTCTTTTGGACAATTTTCCACAGTAGGTGGTAAGTTTAGAATAAATGTATAGAAAACGATGTCTTCGGAAAAATCTTTAGATTGATGAGAGTGCGATTTTCTTTCTTAACATGTGTGTGTATGATTTGACAATGTACATATGCATTATATACATATGACAATCACGCACGTGCAATCCGGATCTAAAATGCTCCGACTGTCAGGCGTGCAACTAGTGTAGCTTCAGCGCGAGACTGACCGAACGTGGGAGAGAATGATTGAAATTAAGAAGAAATAAGGAAACCTCATCTCCAGTGACTCTTTCTTCTTCCATCGTAACTTACCCAATTTGTAGCTAGGCACGTCTTCATCAAAGTCTTTAGCACTGGAGTTCCTTTTCTGAATCATTCTTTCCTCTCATTTGTAGTAATTGACATTAAATGATAATTAATATTTTATTACTTGTTCTGACATGTGTTATTGTTGAGAATGTCTGTCTTCTCCCATCAGTAAATAGTTATCTAAAATTTCATTACTGGGAATAATTCACCATCAAAGCCCCTGAGGAAACTTAATGAATAGGGCCATTAAAAGTACTTTTATTGGTAGTGAGTTAACTTTAGATCAAAATTAGATAGGCCATTATTTTATGGAGCCAAGTTAAAAAAATAAAACTTGTCCTGATGTATAACAGAACAAAAAAAGTTTGAAAACCCACTGCCCAAATGATTAGCCCGCTAGACTCAGGATCAAGAAATTTGAGTTTGAGCCCTCCAGGCAAAGGTCTCTCCAGATAATTTGGATGAGATGCTTTTTCTCTCACAGTGCTTGTGATATAAATGGAAATTGCTAAGCCATCAGGTAATGTGACATACTGTTGGGGGCAAGCTGTCGTAGACAAGCTTGAAATCAAGGAGAAGAGTCTCATTATTCATTTCATACTTTGGAAACAAAGTAAGAATAAAATCCTGCAGGTTTTTAATTATTATGATCATGCTACCATATTCTAAATGATTAGTTGTTTTTTAATTACCAACCTTATCAAGATTATCACGGTACACCTTTCCTGGTTTATTTCTTTTCTGTTTTCAGTTGTTATTGATGCAGGTTCAAGATATGAGGTTGATTACCCTGCTGGTTTATCACACTTGTTGGAGAAACTGGCTTTTCAGGTAAAAAGCTACATGCTTGTTTCCTTCTTTCCTAGATCACAACCCTTAAAGTCAGTGACATGTGCTTCTCTTTCCTGTTGTATAGAGCACAGTGGAATTTCAGAATAATGATGATTTCACACAAGAGTTAGAGAAGTTTGGAGGCATGGCAGACTGCTCCTCATTCAGGTAATCAAGATGTTTTTAAAGACTTATAACTCTAGCCATGATTAGCAAAAATGAAGTGTGCTTTCCATTTAAAAAAAGTGATAATGATTACAGGATATGTCAATAAACCTCTTCATTCTATATTATAATGACCAAGATTTTTGAGCCCTGCTAAAGGTTCCTATAGTAAAGTAAATTGAGTAGATGGCCCGATTTTTAGTAACTTTGTATAATTATGTCTTTTTTGTGATATTCATGGCAAAGAAATCTTCGTATGAATGGAAAATCTTCCTTTCTGTTTCAATTGAAAAATGTAAAATTTGTGAGAAATTATTTCTCACTTTTAATTTTTTTTCCAAATCCTTATGTCAACAGGGATGCCATTATTTATGGAGCATCTTGCTTTACAAGTGGCCTGCCCACAGTAATTAAGGTTCTTTCTGAGGGTGTACTTCAGCCCAGACTTACAGACCAAGAGGTGATGATTATTGACTATTATACACAAAGGACTGTTGAGTTTGATTATTAGTATTTGGATGTCTAATTCCATGTCTACTGTTCAGTGTATTGAATATCTGTTTAGCTTCAAGACAAGTTTTGCTATTTGTACAGTACTCATTTAGCTGTAATCCAGGCATGGTAGTGTGAAAGTGGCCTGATACACCCACTAGAATTTTAGCAATACAGATTTGAACACCAGGTGCATAGGAAGTCATAGCTCAATCTTTTGTTCAAAGACTTAGACAAGACTAAATTGAATTTTTTTGCCAAGTAAAGTACACATGCTATCGTGAAATATGTCTAATATACTTCCTTAAATAAACTCAGTCAAGAGCAGAAACTTTTTTTTAAGTCTCCAAGAAGTTAAGCTAGGAAATCTGACAATACCAAACAGTTTGTGCAAGCAGAGTGACACTTTTGATGTATTTAGTCCATGTTTTATTGTTCAAATAGTACACTTCGTTACATGTTCTTTCCATTTATATCACTTTTTATATACTTGTAGATTGAAGAGCAAAAGATGGTAGTCCAATTTGAACTTGAGAACATAGAAATGAGACCTGATCCAGAACCTGTCCTCACAGACATGATTCACGCTGTAGGTTGAATTGAAATATTTCCTTACTGGTATTACTGTATGTTAATAAATTAAATGTTCAACTACATAGCTGTACAGTATTTTGTGGGTCATCTTGATGTTTAAAAAAAGATTGATCATGCATTCTTTTAGTAAAATGATAAGAATGAAATTCAGTTGAAAATGAATATACTCAATCAAATAAATTTTTTGAACAAACACTATTAAACAGGATATGGAATAGTATCCTAAAAGAATTTTGTGAGTTCAAGAAAGTGCCTTTCATACCTAACTAGAATAATTAACCTTTTTAAATTCTTGAAAATGTTAAGATAGATATTGATTTGCATTTCATTGAAATTTCCTGAGAATTTTTAAATTTTATTTAGCTGTGGTCTGTTTTTCCATTTCTTACATATTTGTTGTGTTACTTATTTACATTTCTAAATTTTACTTATTCATTATATTTGTTCCTTTTTGTAAATTTGATTTCCTCTCTTGTCTTACAGGCTTGGTCATTTAGTTGTGTTGTTTAGGTTGGGTGGCCTGCCTAAAATAGCTCAGCTAACTGCAGGCTGCTCAGGACAGAATGTTAATTTATAGTGATGAAAGTTAATGTTGTCATTTTTTCATACTATTATTAAACATTGCAAAGTAATGGGAGAGGAGTTACCGACATTCACTTCTTCAGAAAACAAAATTTAGTGTTTCTAGAACATTGCTCCATTCCATTGCCAAAGTGAATGGGGATGATTATGATAGATGGCATCTGTCACAATATTAATGTTTGGTGGAGCTTGCAAGTGAAGTGACTGGCACCATTTTGAATACACACATGCTTGTGTGACAAAAAATTTTTTGGAGTTAATTGGCAAGTTTTAGTTCTCTTGAACCTATTACTTGTTTTTGTTTGCTTTTATCTCCCTGTTTAGGCAGCCTTCCGTGATAACACACTAGGCCTACCTAAGTTGTGTCCACCAGAGAACATAGGAAAGTTCAACTCTTCAATTTTGCAAGACTACTTAAGAACATACTATCAGCCATCCAGAATGGTTATTGCAGGAGTTAATGTGGACCACCAACATCTAATAGACTTGACAAATGAATACTTCTTTAAGAAACCACCTGTGTGGCATAAAGGAGGAGAGAAATCTGCAAGTCCTGACCGATCTATTGCTCAGTACACTGGAGGCTTTATTAAGGTGCACTTAACATTTTTATACTTTCCTTGAGGTGCTCCTAACCTTCTTGTTTACCAGAGAAAAGAGAGAGAAAGTGCTTCATGTTAGAAAGGGACGGAGTGTTTGTGTCAAAAAGGTTTAGATGTCCAGGATTAAAATTGGCATATTGCAAATTTACAGTACCATGGACATATTTGGATTATAGTGGAGCTTGCAGAGTGTAGCCCCATAATTATACAAAATAGTAGTAACCCATCAAGCCGAAAAAATTTGGATGTACAACTGTACGACTGTACAAGATGCTACTTTTAACATGCATGTTCAACTGTACCACAGGCATGCTAACGCCATGGCTCTGTCCGGTGGTCTAGTGGTAAGTGCACTGGGCTCCAAGTCAGACTACCCAGGCTCTAGTCCCAGCCAGGGCAAGGTGTTGTGCCCTTGAGACGTGTGGGAAAAAAAAATGCGAGCTCCGCTTTTAGGCTTGGCTAAATCTATATATTATATCTGGAAGCATTGGTTACCCAAGGTTCCCAGTGTATTTGTGAGTTTAGGCAAAGACAGTGGAAAAGTTAATTGTTTGATACTCTGGATGAAATATTAGTGGTTCATTTCAAGGCCTAGTTTACATTTGATTTGATGTTAGTGTAATAGGTTTTGAGCAAAGGGCTATATTTTGCTGTGTTGGTTGTTTTAAGACTGACTAATCTAGTAACTAGTAATCACTTTTGTTTTGTAGGACCACAGAGCTGAACCCAGGATAAATCCTGGCCCCACCCCTCTGCCAGAACTAGCCCACCTCTCCATTGGATTGGAAACATGTCACTATGATGACCCTGACTTCTTTGCATTCACTGTTCTGAACACCATGATGGGTGGAGGAGGATCATTTTCAGCAGGAGGTCCTGGCAAGGGCATGTACTCTCGCCTTTACTTGAATGTCCTAAACAGATATCACTGGATTTATGCTGCCACAGCATACCACCACAGCTATGCAGACAGTGGTTTATTTTGTATCCATGGAAGTTCTCACCCTAGTCAGGCAAGGGCAGTTTTTGTGCTCCAAATTATTTTTTTTAAGTCTTTATTTGTTATAGTGGTTGTTTTCTTTGTGAAACTGTGATAGGAGGGAGATAAAACTTCTAGGTGTTCAGTTTTGTTGTAGCTGAGTTTGTCATGTTTTCATACATCATCATAGTTTTCTATTTTGTACCAAGAAATGCCTCGTTTTGTGCACTTTATTCATCATCATCTTTGCCAGCTTGTTCGAGGTTCCTACCTGGAAACTTGGATGTGATTTAACCCAGCAGGGAGTCCTCATACTCTTCTTTAGCCCATCTCTTTTGAGTAGAAACACCAAAGGTTCTACAAGGTGTAGATGTATATTAAATGATACATTCCCTACTCCAGATTCCTTGTTTTATTTTTACTCAAACTAATATTTTTGTGTCACAGCACATTATGATAATTTTTTTAAACTGATTTCTCTCTTTAGTTGCGGGACCTCACTCAGGTGCTTGTCAAGGAATACTTTAATCTCGTCAGTGGTTCTGTGAATGAGGTGTGTTTCCTAAAATAGAAGTGAATTTTTCATAATCAATAAGCATTCCATATTTGCATACTTCTTTGTCTAGTTAAAGGGAACCCTAGTGTGGTGAAGCCCATGTTCTTATTACATGGTGCACTATGGGAGTGGTTGGTGATAATTCTCTTGCAATGACAGAGGCACTTTGGAAATAGAGTATCATGAAGTATGGAACTTCAAGGGGGTATATTGGTCATAAACTACTTAAAGCCGTGGATATTACATGTATACCAATTAACCTCTTGCTACATCTCTTAGTTACTATGTGCGTCATAACTGGTCAATTTAGCAGGCTGTATTTCATGATCCTTCGAAGTCCGTAACTGACGATACGGACCTCGAAATCACTTCGTAATTTATGCTCTTTAGGTGAAAAGTTTTGCAACAGCGATTATATTTTTTATCAGATGACTTATGTTATATTTTATTGGGAAAAAAATGCCTCCTATTAACCCATGCATTGCAAAGTGATTCTTCAAGCTGTTCTCTGGCCATGTTATCACTTAGTGTAGGTATAGTTTCTTGTGCAGAAGGGCTACAACCATATCATGTTTTGTTTGCAGGTTGAAGTAGCGAGAGCCAAGAAGCAACTCCAGTCTATGTTGATGATGAATCTAGAATCAAGAGTTATTGTATTTGAAGACATAGGAAGGTAAAATTGTACTTAATTGTTATTTAAACTTTGGTTGCGAGTGGCGTTCTGGTGTTGTGGTTTTTTTTTTTTTTCGATGTTTTCTTTCTTTTGTTCCGAGACAGAGATCACTGTGAAGCGAAGAATTGTTTAGCTAATATTGTTTGCTTTCTCCACAGAATTTCGTGTTTCAGTGACAATGAATTTCGTTGAGCGGGGTTTTTGAAGTGATTACCATTTTAGAAGAAGTAACATAGTTTTTTTTTTTAGACAAGTTCTCGGACTTAATAAAAGGAAGTCTGCTCAAGAATTATTTCAAAGCATTGGTAAGACTTAGTTGTGATTTATTTCATGTATTGCTGAATTTTCAATGCAAATTCTTCTTTATTAGAATTTTTCGATGAGGTATCCCTATATCCCCATGATTCCGTTGAGAGCGGCAACTTGCGGCGGAGCATTAGAATACAAATCAGCATGTGAAGTTTTACATGCAGGCCAGTCATATTCTTCCTTTACAGTTATCTGCCCAAAATAATTTCATACTATTAATTTAACTGCAGAAACCAAAATTGAAACCTATTTTTCCCTAATGAAAGATCGAATTTCGTTGGTTTTCAAGTGTTTATAACCAAGTGGGCTCGTCGAGTAGCTATCTATCTGGACTTTGCCCTTTGCATGTGGAATACGTGATAAAATCCAGGCCGTTTACAAGGACCTGGCATGATAGGCAAAGTCCAAGGTTGCTATAAAAAGTGAGTTTAATTGGTAGAAAATGTTAAAGCACATGAAGAGTGCATGAAAAATTGGTTTAAAACGGAGTTTTAGTCAATATGAACTTAATTCAGTGGTGTAAGAGTATTTCGTATAGTTTAGGTTGTTTATTGGAAAACGTTACATACAGTGCAACGTCTAAGCAAGAGTAAAAAGTATGGACCTAACTGTTAAAGGTTTTTGTCAATGATGCTAACCGCCAAAATGTCCTATAACTTATTTATTGTCCAACTACTTTAATTTATATGCATTTCTGACTCAAAAGTCGGGCAAGAAGCGAGCAAACAGAGTTGCGGTTTTTGACGGGTGTTACGTAACGTGCGCGTCGTATTACGGTACAAAATAACTAACTGTCCAGATAGCCATACAATATCGCGGGTGTTTGATAACTAACTGTCAAAATAGCTATAGAAAATCGCGGGATGAAAGCTAAGTTTTTCGTTTGTCTCACGATGTAGTCACGTGTGATGTAGATCGCGACGTTTCGACTGTATACTACTAGTCTTCGACTGGTCATGTGTGATCTTATAAAGCATGATGCTCTGCTGTGATTAGTTGTTTTTTCAACAGCTCTGATTGGTGCATTTCGATCCTTGTTGTGATTTGCTCCCTCGGCGGTCCGCTGTCGCACGGCTTCTTATTGTTGTGTTTTTTTGATCGTGGACATCCACGCTTCTGGAATTTTTATTCCACCATCACTGTTGATGTTGTCAGGGTGAAGTCTTATAGGAATTGCCTCTTTGACCCTGTGTTTGTAGTAACAAAGGTCACGATCAAACGTATTCATAGGATTCCATGTGAATGAGGCAAGGTGTACAACGGAGAGACTGGAAGACCTATGCAAGACAGAATTAAGGAGCACGATCGAGACATCCGACTCGCCCGTACCGAGACCTCCGCCGTTTCAGGGCATGCCCACAACACTAGACACAAGCCACTCTGGAACGAAGTAAAGTTTATTGATCTTGACCCTTTTTACTGCACGCGCATGGTCCAAGAGCCAATTCATATGAGACTTCACCCTGAAAACATCAACAGGGATAGTGGAATAGAAATTCCAGAAGCGTGGATCCCCACGATCAAAAAACACAACAACAGGAGAGCTACCTACCGCTCTCCCAACATCTTCCAAATTTTCCCCAGCACTAGCCCTTAGTTCTCTAATTTTTCAGCCCACTTGAGATCAGTTCGTTCGTGGTCTTGTTACATCTTTAGGTAGTAAGGTGATCCTATGTTCATCACAATGTCGGTGTGTATAATGAATAGGAAGTAAATCCAATTTTGGGTAATCCAATTTTTGGTGACCTTTGGTGTCTTAACAACTTTGCGGGTTCAGTTCCAAGCTGGGTTCAGTGAGCAGTGTGCTCACTCCATTTAGAGAGAGTACACGCGTTAGTTGTGTCATGGTGTAGAAACCTCGAGGAATCGCAGACAGTCTTGAAAAGCCTGTTGGCTTTACATCTTCAAGAAGATATACATTGTACATTTATTTTGACAAATGTGTATCTTTCTATTGAAAGTGGATGAAATAGCTCTGTCTATTTCCGTTATTCCCACGCCATGATTAAAGAGTACCTTTCTCCTTTTTTTTCTGCAGAAAACGTTTCAGTCGACGATATTAAGCGCGTTAGTTCCCGGATGCTAGCGACTAAACCTTCCGTCGCTGCACTTGGTAACCTGGCCAATCTTCCTAAATTCGAAGACATTAAACGTGCCTTTACAAACGGCGGCCATTTCAGCGGAGCGTCACGCTTCTTCCGGTTTAGGAACTAATGGTGTCATCACTTCGTTCAGATTATGACCTCAACTCTCTACATTCTTCGACCACTCAACAATCCGTAAATATTTTGAGGCGGTTTCAAGTACATAGAACGAAATATTTCAACCTCCTTCAGAGTTGCGCAGACTGAATAGCAAATAGAATGGAAAAGAACTTATTTTTACCCTACTCTATGCCAGTATCAGCACACAGTCTTATCGTTGTGTCGCTTTATTGTAATGAATTTATTTGATAACGCATTGACTATTTCTGCTCGCGCGCCACTGGTCTAAAGGCTCGGAAATATCCGGTGATGTTCCGCAATTTCACACCTTAACATTAAATTCTAGACCCAAAACTGTCATTTTTATCATATTATTATAATTTTTTATGTCTTTGTTATTATTATTATTGTTATTATTATTGTCACAAAGAAGAGACAGACTTCTTATTTCACAGAGTCGTTTACAGTAAAAGTTTTTCTAGTGAGCTGCCTGTAAGTACTTTGTCCCAAGCGCTGCAAAAAATTTTGCCTCCATTTGGTAGGAGATTATTATCTCGCCAAACAGAGGCTTTTGTTGACATGAAGTATGATGTGTAACATACCACCCATAGTACTGCCCTCACTTGCCCCATTTATGATACAACATCGTGCCATGAAGAGTTTTTATTCGGGTTTGTTGGAACCCGAAACAATGTATAGTCAATTGCCAACACAACAAATGAGAGAGTAAAAATTTAAGGGAAAACTAATGATATCAGCTAAGATTGCATTTTTACACCTGATTGATTGACTGTGGGAAACCTGTTGTTGTAGACCAGTCAGAGAGCGTTGCAACCATTCACGCTGAACGAAGTTTATGTAACTTGCGGTCAAACAAAGAAGGAGATGTACGTCTCCAACTTTTATGGCTTCGTAGTTTATGGATTGCGTTTCGATATGAAGATGTTAGTGTACTGGTCTCGATTGCTGGAAGGGTGGACTACGCTATCCACTGAGTAAATCTCCACTCGGCGGAAGGCGAAATAAGTTTTGTTAACACTTATCCGCTGGACAGCGTTATCAGCCCTTTGATCAACTGGACCTGACATGTTTTATCTAAAGTTAAAGCGGTCTAACGTTGTCCTTTTTGTTCTTCAACTTCAAAATGTCCAAATGTATGTTTGAAATAGTCAGTGTTTGTACAAGATTTTTCAGTCGATGGTCCTCTTAATAAATCTTTATTTCTGTGTGGTTTGTGCTGCTTTCTCGTTCGGTCCACCCCTGCTTCCTCTTGGAGAGAGAACATGTCAGGTAGCCAATTGCCAGAGAACGGTAGTAAGCGTTATGTCGGCTTGAACCAATCTATTCAAAGTTAAGGTAGTTTGGTAAACTCGGCCGTTCATCATAAAACTTGAGTAAGATTCTCACCAGCCATACTTTGCTGTTTGCTTCTTCTGATGTAAGAATCCTGCGGTAAGGGATAGTCGCCTTCACGAGTGGAAGTGCGTTAAAGTATTTAAAATATGCCTTTCATCTACACTGGTAGGCGGAGTCTGGGCGAATTGTGCTTGGCTAAGGGTCTGTTCCCCATTCGAAAGCTCTAATTGGATTTCATTTGCTTTAGAAAAAGGAAAGTTGAATTACTCGTCACTATGTTAAACTTTGACACCTTTGATCCAACCTAAGATCATTTCAAAACTAACTTTATGGCAGTAAAAGGTATTTACGTTAGAAGTGACCAGTGTCGTTTAGCAAACGCTAGGAAATGTTACCTTTGGCGCCGATTTAAAATTCCTCAGGGTTGCCCATAACCAAGTTTGGAAATAGTGAATTAATTGAAAAAGAAAAGTTAAGAGGGGGAACTCGTGTTCTCTTCGTGTTCCTAAAATTTTGCTTATAACTTTATCTGAATGGTACTAGTAATGGTTCTTGTAGTGTGAAAAAACGAATATATTTCGCCGAAGCACTTTTGTTGTTTACTGGGGTGACCTGCAGTTGATCTTCATTGATGGTCACCCGTTGAAATCTCTTGGCGCGGATAGTAAATTTATTTAACTGCTAAATGCAATTGGCCAAGCGTTGAATAAACTCTGTTGGAAAATCAAAACATGACAAACCTCCAGAATTTTTATGATTACTCGCACTCTCAGGTTAGTGTGATTTGTGGTGATCAAATGAGGTAAAAAAACAAATTTAGGTTTTTTATAGTCCCATTTTAAGTGAAGAACGATTATTAAAAAGGTACGGACGGAAATTAGTTCATTTTATGTTTGTCATAATATTCAAAGCATGTGACTTCAAACGCCTCCATAAACAGCCCGATACCCCGACAAATTTTTATTTTTTTAAAGCATTATAAATTATGAATATCACTCCATAGTCTCTCAACCGACGGAATATCAGTTGTCACTTCTGAGGAGATTATCTTAAATGTTTTGACACATTTTCGAAAAACTGTAACATTTGAGCAGACTAGAGCATCTTACGGTAAGCCCAGTGTCAGAAGTCGAACACCGAACATAAAGAGGAGAAAACAAATATTCTCTTGTTTGAGTCGTCGATACTTGGTGGTTCATCTTGCAAAGCGAGATCATATTCTACGAGAAGAATGTTGTCAAGTACAAGCTTCGAAAGAGCAATGATGCTGGCGGTATTTTCTCTTTTCGTACTGTGTGTGACATTTGTTATCAGGAAAGAGTTGCACGAGGAAGGCTCCTTTGAATACCAAGACACAGCACGGGCCAAGAAGGAAATAGACCAATCCTATGAGCTACTGATTGCAAGTTCCGAGCAGGATGATACAAGACGTGAGGTCAAGGATAAGGACTTCAACGCCACCCTGATCAGATAATATCACCGTTCAGTACCACTGGTCACTCGTTCGAAGACTCCGTGAGTGAGAAGGAGATATGTCTGATAGCCAATTCAGAAACGGAAGATTTTCTCGGTTGCTATCCAGAAACAAGTAGAGGAAAAAGGCATTGGATATACGCTAATTACTCTTGATTAGTCTGATTAATTGTTCCAAAGCAAAATAACTGGTACTCTTTTATCTTAGCTTATTTCATGAGACCATAAAAGTGGAAAAAGCCCCAGGGATAATGTCCGGTTGGTTGAATTCTGTCTGTTCACAAATGTAGGGGAGTAGCAGGTGCGATCACAAGAAGAGTCCGACGAACAGTTTTACAACTTATGGAAAAGAGAAAACCACACAAAACAGTGAAAGATAAAAAGACAACGAGGAGAAAAAAAGCACCGCATATTCAAGCAGGCTTATGAGTCAACCTGCATACAAAATGCCTCAAATTATAGGGTTAACCTTTTTCATGTGATCCATCGATTTAATTTGCTTGGCTTTAAATGATTGTGGTGATAGTTTTGCATATATTCACTTGGGGTGTAACAGTAGCACATCTTGTCTTCCGTTTGACCTATGCAGGCCACTGGCCTTCTAATGTATAATCCAAAGTAAACCGCGTATGCTTGATTCGTCGAATTTGCGACTCATTTCCAAGCCTAGATTTGTAATGCCCTTTGACGTTTTACATTTTCTGGTTTTGTCCTTTTTATTTTAAAACGAGTTACGTGTGTAGTAAGAGCTTAAGAACTAGGTATGTCTACCAGGATAAATACGGTCACGTTTTGTGTTTAAAAAAAATTAATCTCTTTCTCACAAATTATCATGATAATATTTTTGTTGAATTGTTTCATTGAACAATCGAACAGTACAGAATGTAGTGTAGTAACTACCACCTGAACACTTTAACTTCCATGAGTGACCAAAGAAGAAGTTTTTCTTACAATGTTGATACATTATTAAGTGACGGGAATACAGAAAAATGTGAATTAGGAAATAATTAGTTAATCCAATACCAAATTCTCGGAACTGACTTAATAAGAATTGTATGGCAGACAGTAAGGAGAATTACTGATGACACCTTGTGGTTGAAAGGGTTTAAGTGTTCTTTCATATATAGACAATATTGAAGGATCAGGTGAAGAATGAAAGTTCTTGTGACTGATAAGGATGTTGGCATTAGAATTAGAGGGACATCAAGGATCCATAGAACAATCCTGATCACAAGCAGAGTGATTTACAACAAAATAACATTTTTTAATTTGTAATATGCTTGGAAAAGTCCAAATCTTTTCTACCAACAACACATTTAAATAATTCTATGCGATGGAATGTCATAATATTAGTATTGTTGCACCAAAATACTAAGATTTGATTACAAATTGTACTAATCAATTCTGGACAATTATGATCATCATAATCCTGTTGTTAAAATCATATTGAAAAGTATTAGACTGATACTCAACTGCATCATACATGATAATCTCACCAAAACAACCCTATTTTAGAAAATAACAAATAAAAACAAAAACAAAAGGGATCAAAATAAAATGCTTGAAAGGATAGGTTCCCTAACATGAAGTTAATGACAAGATAACTTTTACTTTCCTTCAAAGAAATGTTATCACATCCAAGGTACCAACAACCTCCCTCCCCACCATCTTTAACAGATTTACCATGTACTTAGAATATCATTTTTGCTTGAGTGTAAAACAGAGTTGAAGCCAGTTCAAGGACTACTTATGTCAACCTTAGTGGCCCAAGATCTCTGAAAAATATGTAAGAACATATTAAAGTAAGTAACTACATATTCCCCACAGTGAATTCAAAAGGTGTAGATCATCATACCACAAGTCTAAAAATCAAACGAGCCTACATTCCCCACCCTTCACCCTTCCCAAGCCGTTCTCATATAAAAGGCATATTCACAACAACATTCTCTGATTGATTGATTGATTGATTGATTGTACATTCCACGTACCTAACTGCAACCTAATTTTGGCATTTTGGTGCAGGATTTTTTTTTGTGGGATTTAAATAGGCAAATACAAAAAAGGCATTAGATTTTGTGACTCAAGGGTTCTCAACTCCTCTTAATTTTTCAAAATGTCAACTTTTGATGACTGCATAAAACATACTCTAAGGAATTTGTAAGAATCTAGCCATTCAGATGAAGATGATAGCTACATTTTCTACTTTATATGCAAAATCTTTGCAAATTAATGTCACTTCACGACAGAATATACAAATAGAACTAACTTAATAACTTGTGTATTTGTTGATAGCTCTCCTATATGTTTTTTTCTTATATTACATGCTGATCATTTTTATCTGTTATTTGAAGTCTATATGTGAGATTAAAATTTGCGGGTTTAAATTTAATTTCGGGATCATTTTGGTTTGCCAGTTTTAAATTTTGTGATTTTTTTTCAGTTGCAAAATTTGCAAAATTAAAAACCCACAAAATTATCAACAAGGTAATTGATTCCACTGATTTGACAATTGTAGGAAACCCTTGAAAAAAACCACTGATGGACTGTATTTCAACATCTTTAAAAATCACAAATTAATTATTAAATGCTAATTCTTCCAACACTTGACTGACATATTCAGAAGAAACAGTTGTCATCTCTTCTTAAACTGAAATCCACCCTTCTGTCTTTGCTGTGTTTGTGAAGGACTGGGTGGCGTAACTCTTGGACGTTTGAGATCCATTGCTTTGGAGAGTATTGTGTGAATGTCAATATCTGGATAATTCTTAAAACAAGTAAAAAAAGAAGTTTAAATTACTGCAAAGTGAAATTTAACCACTAGCATAAAGGTTGTGATGGTGATTCAACTGTGAGTCAAACTGTTAGACTCTGGAAAATTAGTAATTAACACCACCAAAAGTTGATAACAGAGAACTTCTACCAGGAGACACAGTGCTATCTAATGAACACTGCAATATCAGAATTAATCTGGTGGGTAGCTTTGACGGTTGGTTAAAAGACAAGAACAGTGGAATTTATTATTTTTTTTTGTTATTTATTTATTAGTGTTTTTTAATACCTGCAGAAGTTTCATAGTTGTAGCAAAATCACCAGCCAGAAGTTGATCCCTTATCACCCTAAAAAAAGTATACACTCATGTTAGTCCTACTCACTTCTTTAAAAATGCACTCAAGATAATGCACACGATTTACAAAAGTTATAGTATCATCATCTGTAAGAATTAACATTGTTTACTTAATTTACTCACATGTGCATTGCACAGCACACATAAATCAGGAAATCAAAACGTTTCTCGTCAGCAAAAAGAGAATCCCACACCCTGATGACATCTGTAATGCAGTTAAACAAAGTAACTTAATTTCAATTGATAATCAGCATATATTGGCACATTTCAGCATAACCTGTAAACAAGTTAAGTGAAAGACAATAAATGTTGAGGTTTCAGACTATTTTTTCTAACTTGAATGTCAAAGGTTACACTTCCTTTATGTGAATGACTAGTTCTGTCATGTTGCACAAGTTTTGTTCAATATATAACCACCAAAAATCCCCAAAATTCACAACCCACATATAGAGTTTACTTGAAGACACTTAGGGAGGTCTCCAGGAGGGAAAGTTCCTAGAAGCAAAAATTTGTTAGATTTTATTTCTTGTACCTGGGAGGGCAAATTCCTGAGATAACAGCAATGTTAACCACCTGAAACTGTAAAACTGTGGCCTCATCTGTTGCTCTTCCTGAAATAGATGTATACTTCATAAAAATCACTTAAACCTTCACTAACAGTGCCTTATAGAACATGGAAACCCCTAATCATAGTGGAAGTAGATCATTTCCAAATTTTCCTCCCACTTTCATTGTAAATGAACCTGTCTTCAGCAGACATCTCTATTGTGCTACGTTAAGTCTGTACTACCTCTAGAAAGTTTCATGAGGGATTTGAGTTTCATTTATAATCTAGCATGGTTTTATATTACATTGTTCACTTTTATTTGCTAACTGTTGTAATTAAGCATCATAATTCTTGTTGAACTAAATAGCAAGATGCAAAGAAAACATGTCAAGAAGTTTCACTGTATAGAAAATATTCTCAGAACAAAGAGGAGGAAAAGTTGAGGCAGTTTAACATTTCACTCCCAAATACAGTCCTGCCATTCATTATGATCTTGGTAGGGCCACCCTTAGTTCAGTAGACCCACACCCCAGTCTGCCAACTTCTGAGTGAGAGTAAATTTCAAGTTATCATAAAGAATTTGTTCTTGAAATCACAACACTTGGAGGAAGTACCGGTAAGTAAAGGCTGAAAACACAAAGAAATGACATATCCTACAAAAGCTGTTTCACTGCATTGTGAGTTTCAAAAAGAGGTGTGTTTGAAGGTCTATGCTTGAATTTCCTATACTTTGAAGCATAGAAACAGCAAAACATATTTTGTAACAAAGAAAGGTGCTAGTTTTAACATAGCTAAAATATCCCCTATTTCATTTTTTTATGTTAAAGAACTAACTCCTGTGATCAGTGGACAAATTTATTAAGTTATAATTACCAGGTATCTGTACAATATGATGTCTCTCTCTTTCAACATGCTTCGAACACTTTTCATCAAGTTTCCTGAAAGGTGGCAGGAATATACACTTTCTCATTTTAAGATAAAATGGAGATAAATTGGAAAAAATCTCTGAAAATACTATTTCAGTATGGATAAATGCTTGTTGCCAACATGTAACAGGCTACTAAACTCACCTATACCACAAGCTGAATCATCCAGAGTCTTGATAAAGTTATCTCGAATCTCTGACATCAGATTTGTAAAGCAGAAGAATGCATCTGCTTCAACATTTTCTGTAAAATGACAATGCAGAGACAAATAATCTATTAACAACAGTCAACGGCTTAATCATGATTTACTGGTACAGTCAGTAACACATGACTACAATGACATAAACTAATAAATCACTTTGACCATTTATTTTCAATCAACTAGTGCCATTAATTTTTGTATGTGGTGTATCTAATATAAAGAAAAGAAGGTTGCCAAAAGATTGAAGGTCAAAAGTCAGTTATTGACAAACCTTGCCATTCTAGGTTGGGATCAGAACAGAAAACATAGTACAGTGGTCCAATTATTTCATTCATACCCTGGGAAAAAGCATAATCCACAACAGCAAATAAACGTTACTTAATAAAAGAACAGGTCCTCATTGTACATTGGGAGTTAATTAATTCTCTAGCTTAATTTCAATGACTTGAACTCTTTCTTACTCAGGCATGAAGAATATTCTGCTCTTACTTCATTCTTTCCTCCTTATACCATATTTCTTTATGAAAACTCTGTTGTAAATAGCCAACTACTAGACTGCAATTGGTCAAAGATTGCTTATAGTAGAAGTTGTCAATGAGTTCAGCGGCTTACATTGAACACTGTAAACACTGGGATATTTTTACTTCTCTAATCATTATCAGAAAGAAGCATGTGTTATCATTATGTTTTAATTAATATAGTGTCAAATGTTGTGAAACATTTTCTCACCTGAACATAACCCAACCCAGGATTAAGTTTTGCATAAACATATAATATTCTCTCTACAACCTGAAATTTATAACCATACACCATTAATATGATATCATAATACTTCACTTGAATTGATGTCATTAAACTGTAAATCCTTTTGTAAGAATTGTTGCACATGCAATTGCCCAGAAAAAAGAGCATGTGCTGAATATTGCCATAGAATGACCTATTTTATGAGACTCAAAAAAAAGTTACGATAGTAAGAATAATGGAACGCAAATTATTTCTTTCTCAGAAGGTGTTTTTGTCATGAGTTTAGGAAAAGAAAAATCTAACAAGTCACTGGTGAGCTAGCCAGGCCTGGTGCATTCTGCTGGGAAAGTTTACCCTTGCAAGTAAATTTAGAGAGATGGTAAATTTTGACCTTGGATGTCAAATTAAGGTAGATGTTAAACTTTATTCCACAAGGCCAAGGCAAAGAAAAGACATTTTTTTGGCTCAGTTAGTGAGGCATCCTGCTTCAAAATTGGAAGGTTGGAACTTCAAATCAATGCTGTAGACTGTGATTGTGATTTTTTTTCCTTGGAATCCTACTCAAGACAACTTTTAAAGGTTTTTATGCAATTTAATCAAACTAAATATATATCTTTTTTATCAGTAACCTTATTATAACTACCACACTTTTGGAGAACTTAAAATATAAAATTCAGCACAAAAACGAAGAATACATAAAACTTGATTATCAAGTGCAGGCGTCTTACAGTTACACAGAGCAGAGTTTCAGTTGATTGATACCAACCTTTGAATCTCAACAATACAAAAAAAATGGAGTCTTAAAAATACATCATTGTGACATGTATGAAGAAGAACAATTTGACTACATTAAAAATGAAGTTCAGTGAAAATAACTCAAGAAACCATCTACAACTGTACATTTGAATGAGCCAAGTGAGCTGGCAATTATCAGTAACAATGTGGGAAACAGGCTTAAAGAAAAGAGCTCCCTTACCTCCCAATGTGCTTCTTCTCCATCTCCAAGAACAAAATATTCCTCTGGGGCTATTTTCCTTGGTGCAGATAACTTAAAACAAGAAAATATACCATCTTTGAAGCAATATTTCAATATAATTGTGGAATCAATATCTAAATTTATTGTTTTTTTAGAGGGCACGGTAACGAATCTTGCAATCTGATTGGTTCTTTACCCAGTCAGTATTTTCCTATCTCTGCCCATGGGCCACGGTAACGCTTTCGTGAGTCGCCGAGTACATCCCTACTTTCGTGGTCATTTTTCATAAATATACCTCGTTTTCCAGCTGGGCAGTATTTTTAAGCAAACATGTCGGTCATTACCTCAAGCCGATAAATAACTTATGAATCCTCCCTTTTCTCTCTATCAAATCACTTTGGTTGACAGAAAAATATTGGTTTCAGAATGAATTTGTATAAACAATAGTGTCATTATGTTGGTTGACAAGCGGCCTAAAAACCGTCTGCAATTAATTTTAATCGTTCACAAAAAGTACCCAGAAAGTTGAAACGTGAGGTATTTGGTTACAGTTAAACTGAACGATGGAACTTTCATTCATTTAATATCTGAATTTTCTTGAGCAATTTGTTCATAGTAAAAAAAAAGCGAGCGAAGTTTTAATTTAAGTTCTACAACAAATATACGCTCCTGGTGAGTCTTTCCAATTCCGTTCAATTTGGACATTTGTACCTTAAATTACACAACAGAAATTGAAGGAATTGAGAAAAGGCTGCATTAAATTCCCTTGTGTCTCGTTGGAGTGTGCCATTCGAATTTAGTTTTGTGAAGGAAAGATCAGAGTTAAACACGCCATTACAGCAAACAAACAGCAAACAAACTTCAAAATAAAAATTGAATTTACAAACTTTCTCACAACTTCAAAATAAAATTGAATTTACTCAGATCATTAACTGATTTTTAAGAAAACATTGTCGTGACAGTCCTTGCCAAACTACTGTTCAGATTTTTTTTTTTTTTTTTCAGATACTTGATTGTGAAGATAATGTTTCAAAGTTTGTTTGGAAGCCTTTTAAATCACCTTTATTGTTACGGAAATGAAAATGTTTCGCTGAGGCATCTCTCTTAAATTTGCATCACCTCTATTTTAACTACCATTTACTCACTCAAAAATTGTTCAGTTTATGGAAGATCTTGCCATATTTATGGCCATAAGTCATTCGGGTTCTCTCGGAAAGAATTTCGTCAAGTTTAAAAACAATAAATATGTTATTTACCGGCTAAGGGTCGGTCCGTATGGTGAAAAACTGTGATCTCGGTCTTGAAAATGCTGCTCTCAGCCTACGGCCTCGGGCAGTATTTTCAAGACCTCGGTCACAGTTTTTCACCATATGGACCTCCCAGCCGGCAAATAACATATATTTATCTTAACTCAAAGTAGCAAATAGATCCTGTGTTGTCATGCATCTGTTCAGTAAAAAATCATAATTACATGACATCAAAATGTGGCAAGAACAAAAAAAATCCACACAAGTTGCAGCAGACTCAAAAGATTACCAGAGGATGTAATTTGTTATTTTAGAAATGTAAACTATTTCAGAAGGGATAGTACAACCATATTGAATCCTCATTAATTAATTAAAAATAACTTCTTTGGCAGGCAATAAGAAATCGGTGGTGAAAGGATTATTTAAAAATTAAAGTACATGGCATCAAAGTTTAAATCTTATCGCAGAAAATTATGAATTTTGAATCCTTATATCACCCATCATGTAATAAAACCTGGCCTGTTTCTTCTTACGTTTTTGAGTCCACTTCTGTTGGTATTAACATGAGATGCCTCTAGATGGGTCCGCAAGACACGCTCCCTCAGGGTTTCAAAATCTCTGTCTTCTCCTAATTTATCAGGATATTATATATTGTTAATCAAATAGTATCTTTTACAAATAAAAGCAAATTTAAAGCGACTGAAATGTCCCAACCTATATCATTGTGTAGAAAGCAATTAATTAATTCTGGAAGTGCACAAATAAATTCCAAATTAAATTCTAGCAATAGTCTGTATAGATTATATTTCAGTCAATGTTGTATTAAAACATTTTTTTTTCATGTATTTCTTTGTTTTCTTCAACTGACTGTCAATAGCTTACACCTGGAGGTTTCAGTCCTTCTGACATCACAGCAGAACTGACCAATCAATTTTGAAAACCAGAATTCAACATTTGACCTAGAAAGTACTCTTCTATAGATATCAAGGACTTCTCTAAAATTACTCAATCATTTTTTGTTTGTTTCGTGCTGACAGCCTTCCTCTTATTGCCTTATGTTTGATTGTTTCTTTGTTTCTTTGCCCATGTTTTTAGAAATATGCTGGATTAAACCCTTAAAAGTTAAAAAAGGCTCTCTCTTACCAGTTGTGACTTTCTTGTTAGGATACTTTGTGGCTATTTGAAAAAAGGAAATATCTGGACACAGCCTCCTGTAACAACAACGATGAAAAAAAAAATAAAGGGATCACTCAAAGAGTAAACAAACCAGTGTCCCTATCACCATAGCTGGTTTAAATGCAACTCACAAGCTCCATCCCTATACTTACTTTCCTAGGAAAAAAAATCTGTTAACTGAGAACTTTTAAATCAATGTTGTGAGTATTGCCTATTGTTATTAAAACAGTCAATTTGCCCTTTGGCTGACAATACTCAGAGCATTGTTACAGTTTAGCTCTAAGATGTTTTTCCCTTGTATTTTCACCAATTGTATCTCTAACGAGACATACTAGTAACATGACTGTAATCATTCAGTAATCAATGGATGGTTTAGAAATGATAGCCAATTAATGTTTCACAAACATTTTAGACATTGATGAGTCACTAATATTATCAGTTAGATATTAGGATTGTTGAATGTTCTGAAATCTAGGAAAAATAAAATAAATCATTAACTTATTTGAACTAATCTCAGCAACAGAACTCCACTTCATGAACTGGTTCATTTGCAGCACTTTTGATTGCCCCTTCCTTACCTCATATCAATTTATTATAGTCATGCCTACCTCGACAAAAGGAGACACATATTTGCAGCAGAGCTCAACAAAGTTCACCTAATACCTTTATAAAGTGATAAATGCCATATGAGATTCAGGATGAACTAATTCATACCTTCTGGACCAGACTGGTTTAACATTACCCTCTACTTTGATAGAAGTTTCTGTTCCAATGAAAATGATTATGAAGACTACATATAGCCCCTTGGATTCTCCAAATTTATAGCACACCAGCCAATTGCAGATAATTTGAGCTAGAATTTCTTTACCAGTTAATCAAGACCTTGTTTTTTTTCTGATCAATTAATGCTTGAAAAATTTTTTAAAATACCTGCAATCCTTATCAATTTGCAACAGCACTTCGTTGTCTTTAAAAAAGGCAAGCCACTGACTGTCAGGATTTGGATTCAAAGGCTATAAATTAAAACAAAAACATCCTCAATCATAACCATTACAATTTCCACAAATGTGAATGGTGCACTAACCTCTTAATTTTTCACTAATTAATTTGTAGAGTTGTAATCGGACAGTGTAATTGTACAGTTGGCTGTAATCGGACAGTTGAAGCAGCCAACTTAGGCCACTCAGCTAAATCTGCCAATCACAGAACTGATCACAATAACCAAAGCAACAACCACTTATCTTCAGAAAAACTGGGGAATTTCCAAAATGGAGGAACTTTTAAATTTAGACATTGCTTCCCCTGGAGATATTTGTTCAAAGGTTTTTTTTTCAGAAATTGTAATGGTTATGAATAGTTGGTAACAGGACTATGTCTCGTCCAATTCTGTCTGTTATCATACTCATGATTAACAAATTGGACTCCCACTTTGTGGTTTCCGGATTTTGTTAATCACTTGTAGAACTTAACACAGAATTGGATGGCACAAAGTCCTGTTTCCATTATTAACAAATGAAGTGAATAGTGTAAGTCAGTCAGCTGGTGTGCAAACATCTTGAATTGCACATTGAATGATCAACAAATCAGACAAGAAGTTTTTCTCAACCACATAAGGTGATCAGTTCTGTGAATGTACTATGTGTGAGACTGGTAACAAGAAACAAAGCAACCATGCAAGTCTCTTAAAAATGTCTACTCAACCTCATTTTACAACTGCTGGTGAATTTTTTCAAAACATGGATAAGTCTCCATTTTGAAAACTTTTTCAAGAGTTCCTCCTGAGTATATATCACAAAAAAGAGTCAGTGATCGGTTTTCCCAGCCATTTGATATTTCTGGGAAACCTGTGTCTGTGTGACTGACTGTCTGGATGACTGTGGAACAGCACTGTTCTGACTGTGGGGACTTAGATCTTGGAACTTAGCAAAAACTATGTATCATGTTCAGAGCCACTCTGGACAGATATTATTGATAAAGCAAGTGATCAAATGAAAAAAAAACCCAATTAATTTTCATGAATTTTACACAGAATTTGAGCACACTGATCAGTGAGTTTTCAAGATAATAAGATTAAAATTTTCATGTTTCATCAAATGTGGCAGCATAAACACCATTATCATTATTATGCTCATTAGCAACAAAAGAGACATACACAATGTCAAACCAGAAGGAAAAACAACTAAAAAAATACACTGAACTACAGAGCTCTAGTTCATATGCATGAGTGATTTAAATATGCTTAGGGAGAGGAACACAATTAAAACCACTGTTGCATACATTTCCCTTTCCTAATCATGATCCTTATGTTTTTCATCATCATCATGTTTTTTGAGGGGTGTGGGAGGGGAAGAGTTTTATAAAAGGCTTCTCCTTTACAGGGATAGTATGGTATAAAAAAAGGATTGTATTGCTTAAAGAATATCATTTCAGCTAGGTCTCTTACATGATCAACATCAAATTCCTTGGAATCTTTTCCAGACTTTGTTCCTTTACATTGTTCAATGATAATTTCTTCAACAAACTGTTTGTAAGTGGATCTGAAAATAAAATTGTTTATCAGAATGAGCTAAAGGATTTGGGCCAGGTTATTCAAAAAACATGATTAACCTGACCCAGGGTTAGTGTAAATTTATTTAGTTTAAAAGCTTTGCAAGGGCATTTTTCTTTTATAATCTTTTTCTGTTAGTTTCTAATGTCATATTGAGATAAACCTCAACAAAATCTTACATGTAGCTCTTGAACATGCTCTTCTACATGAGAAATTAGAGCCAAGTTTAACTTTAAATCCTAGATTACCAGTAGCCCCCTTTCCAACAACCTGGCCCAGCTGTATAACAAACATGTAAGCAGATAGTCTGACAAGGACTTGACATATCTCAATCTAGGAAAAAGTACTTTATGCTACATTCCTGTCCATAGAGATTTCATTCATAATACTATTGTAACAAAATAGCCAGCTAACCTCTGTCTTTTGAGTGTCTCAGGCCAGAGATCCTTTTCCGGAGGAAGGTAACCTAAAAGGAGCTTCAATGGTAAAACAAAACATTGAAATTTCAATTCATTTACTAAAGCACTTGATAAGTATATTTCACAATTAGTTGTCAGGCCAAAAAAATTCCAAGGTGCTGTAAAATTCTAATAGTAAAATTTCAACATGGCACAGGGAAAAAAAATCTCTAATCATCAGCCTGTCCCAGCTATCTATGCTTTGATCTTGGAAGAATGGAACATCAAAAGTACTTGTCCCACTGGACAATAACAATTTAGGGGACAAAAAAATTCCAAGGTGCTGTAAAATTCTAATAGTAAAATTTCAACATGGCACAGGGAAAAAAAATCTCCAATCATCAGCCTGTCCCAGCTATCTATGCTTTGATCTTGGAAGAATGGAACATCAAAAGTACTTGTCCCACTGGACAATAACAATTTAGGGGACAATTTTTTCAACTGAGTTCTGGGTTGCCCAGGCATCTCTTGATGTTGTAAACTAAACTGGTTTTCCAAAACTCTCTGTTTCTTTTTGCTTTAAATTAAAGTCAAACACAAACATAATTACTATGTAGCTTAAGAGCACTGGAGAGTGACACTTGTGATCACACTTCCATGTGAATCACCTAACAACTGTATGAAATAAACTCAGTTCACATGCTTCATTTCACTGTTAGTGTACTCATTTCACTGTCAGTGTACTCAATGTTAGCAAGTTTACTTGACCTACCAAATGTCAGCAGTAAAAGAGAATCTGAACCCCCAAAGATAAAAAAACAGCAGTGAAAAAGTAAAAAGATATGAAGGTCGAACTCAGAAATTCTTGCTGCCATGGAAAAAGGACTTCCCTGCATTGAAATGTTCTGTGCTGTGTGTTGAAAATATCCAACAACAGCATAACTGGAGTTGGTCAATAACTTGTACTGTCCTTGTTGTATGTTATATATTTACAAATACTGACTTTTTTCACTTAGTTGAGAAGAAGAACTATAGAATTCAAAAGAATTCCTTTGAAATTTTTACATCACCTTAGAATGTAGCTCCTAAATATCCATCTCACATCTTATTATTACATTGCAATTATAACATCTCAAAGAAATGGAACATTGCCAAGTCTTATTGCACATGAAGCATGTGAAAGAATCGTGGTATGTTTGTTGAAAATAGTGTTAAAATGTGCATGGTTTCACCTTTAAGAGGTGACTCTCATTAGAGGTGAAAGTTAAAGTACTTAAAGGTGAATCAATCTTGGGACTTAAACAACTGCTCCTTAATACAGGATGACTACTTAATATGGTGCCACTTATTGTAGCTTCAAGTAGGTTCAACTGTAACAAAGGAAAGTGCATTGCAAGCTATGAGTTCTTCAAAGTTGAACTCCCAGTATCCATCTTCCTTATGGCATGCTTCTTGGGTTCCTCTTCTCCACTTTTCAATTTCATGTCCAAGTTCAGTAACTCGTAATATACAGACAAATCAAGAGTAGTCTCCCTATAAAAACGTTATCTAACCCTAACCCTAACCCTAATGCAATAAGGCCATCGAAAAGCTGATGGTTGAGAATATGAATAATTTGTACTGCCAAAGGTTTCCAAGGTAATCCACAAATTGTTAGAATAGCTGATGAGTTGATCGAAGCCACGCAAATTTCGCGTGAGTCCATCATCAAACTTCACTGCTCACCTTCCAACACACCGATCGAATTCCAGATCCATCAGGAATTCCTGCAAAATAGAAATAGGAGATTGACACATCTAATCAGGATAAGTTACAGATAATGTGATGTGACCACAACACTCATCATGATAAATAGGAATTATTCACAACATACCGCTAAAGCAAAGTCTTCGGAGATGTTTAAGATCAATCTCTTTCGCAGCGAGAGCGGACCTGAACTCAGACAACCTTAAATGTGACAAAAATAAATGTCGCTCATTTAATCAACATGATTTTTTGGAAATGAAACAAACTTTGAAGAGATTCCGAAATCACCTCTGCTTGAACGCCATTTTGAATTTGAGCCCGCGAATCTTTCGATAATAAAATGCCACTCAAGTTCATTCAAGTATCCAATCAAAGCCATTCTTAAGTTTATTAATCAGCCAATCAAAAAGAGAGCCATGTGAACACGTGCTACTCTTGAAGAAGAAGCGTGTCTCTCCCTTCCGCATCCCTCTTACACAGTTTACTTCTTTTGAGAGCATCGACGTACTATTTCCTGCATTAGCTCCTATAACAAGACATTAGCTCTTTCGAAAAGGGAAACGAAAACATGGCGAATGATCAGGCCAACGAAGATCCATTGAAGAAGGTGTTTGTTGGTGGTTTGGACAGGTCCACATCAGATGAAGCTTTAAAGACGTATTTTGAGTCTTACGGAGAAATGACAGACTGCGTGGTAATACGCGATGGAGGCAAGGCTTCTAGAGGATTCGGCTACGTGACTTTCGCCGAAAGAGAAAGCGTCTTAAAGGTCTTAGGAGAAAAACCCCATACGATCGATGGCAAAACCGTCGAAGTAAAGCGAGCTATTCCTAGAAATGAAGACAGCGCAACAGCTCATCATAGAACAAAGAAACTCTTTATTGGTGGATTGAAAGACGAGACGACCATGGAAGACATAAAGCAAGCCGTCGCCGAGTCAGCACGCGGAATTGCGCCAACCCTTGTGGACCTGATCATGAAGAAAGACGAGCCGAAAAAGCATCGTGGTTTCTGCTTCGTTGAATTTGAAGACGAGGATATAGTGGATGAACTTTGTTGCCTCAAAAGGATCACAATCTCCGGCAAACAAGTTGAAATCAAGAAAGCTCAACCTAAAGATGGTCAGGGGGCACGTTCGGGGGGTCGTGGTGGACGCGGAGGGGGTCGTGGATTTAGCCATCGTGATCGCAGTGGTGGTGGAGGTGGACAGTACACATACAATATGTATGGCGGTCAAGGATACCAGCAATACTCTGATCCTAGTTATTACAGCGGCTATGATGGTTATGGATACGACAATGGTTACGGTAACATGGGTAACTACCAGCAAGCTCCTTCAAACTTTGGCTCACAGCACGGTGGATATGGAAGGGGTGGCGGTCCAAGACAACGGTACACACCATACTAGAAAAGGTAGGAACACTTTTTTTCTAATTTTCCCATGCTTGTGGTTTATTTTATGACATCTTTAGGTGAATGAATAAGATATTTTTTGAAAGCTAACAGTGAATAGCACACGGGGGTATGTTTTATTAGCAGAAATAATGTTAACTACCTACGAGTGTGCACGAGTGGGATGAAAAAATTGTTTAAAAGTACTGTTAAAAGTATTCATGTGCCCATAACGCAGGAGCATTGGAAAGGAATTCTACAGGTCCTCTTCTTACTTAAGTTTATTTATTAAAAAGGTGACACCTTGCCTTGCGTGTCCTTTTATCACGCAGTCACGGGAAAAAAAGCATAAAACTTCAGATATTGATAATTGGGCTAACCGTTGTTGTTCCAGTGAGTCTAAGCTTATTCTGTTTTGATACCTAGGTTTCGTTGCATTTGAAGTCTTAAGTCAACATAGCCAGACATAAGTTACATTAAGTCAGCCAGGACCTAGGCTACCAAGGATTCCCTGAAGAATTGCTGTCGCAGTCAATCTACCACTTAAGATGCAGTGTAGGCTTCCTCCTAATCACAGACCTCTTCGTGTAGACAGGACTCGACCAGTTGCAGTATTTTATTAGGAGTAGAATTTTATTACAAACTTACATTTTTAGATTAGTTTACATGTATACCCAAACCCTTGGCTGTTATTAAAGTTGGTTAGGTTAAGAATAAAGGTCTAAGTGCTATTCAGGAGTTGTTAGTTTTTTTTTTTTTGCAAAAGACTTGAGGAGCTTGTTTTTATTTGTTTTTTATTTATCTACTTTTGTGTTACAGTCATGGTTAACCTTTCTCTAGGTTAGCTTTTCATGGGATATTTTCTGGAAAAAAATCAAACTTCTACAAACGAGTTACAGGAGGTAACAATGAGAAATTTTCTACCAAATGCCCCACTTACATCTGTGTATTTTTTGTTTCCATCTCTGGCTAAATAATTTTGCCAATTTTATGTTATTTAACGACTCGCTGCTTTTAATCCATTTATGTCCAGCTTGTTTCTTTCTGGTACTTTTGGGTTGGGTTAGTGTTGCTTGTTGAGGATAGCACTTTAATATAGAGAAAATGGTGACCAATCAAGCCCAGAATTTGGTTGCAATACCATGTTTGTACTTCTACACAAGAAACTATATTCACTATGTGTGACCACTTCCATTATGGGTGGAATGTGTCAGGTATTAAACAAAGGTAGCACAAAGGTGACTATTGACCACTGCCAACATAGGAGGGTAGAAGAATAACTGGTTTTTGCATTCTATTTGGACTAAGATTAACATTCTGGAGGCCCTGCAAAAAATCTGAGGAATATTGTAAAAGTTAAACATGAACCACAATCATTGTTGAAAACTGTAAAGTATGGTGATTTTAAGTTCTTCTTTCACTCACAATTATACTGTTGAGCAGACTATTTTCTTGTATTAGGTAACAATGAAATGTGTTAGATCTCTTTCCAAAACCAAAATAGAGTGACACCTTCAAAAGAAGGTGTAAAATGTAAGTTTCAGAACGCTAAATTGTTTACCCTTGTTTTCAAAATCTAAGTGTTTATGGATGTTTGAGTGAATTTCCTTTTCCTAACTGAAAGTACAATTACAGCACTATATCTTATCAAAAATGTGTTCACATAACACCACAAACTAAAGTACAATACTCACAGAAATATTAATTAACCTGATCACTACGTACTTTCAGTAGTACAGGATATACAAAAAAATATATCACAATATAGTACTATTTCATTTTAGTACCCGATGCACATCATACAACTAACTCACAATTTTTTACTAAGTGTCCAGTTGGTAACAAGGAGAAACACCCTTTGTTAGGATAAATGATTTTAGCAAAATTTACAATCAACCTTTTTTGCAGATTTCTTTTGATTTGGCTTGCTACTTTCTAATGGTAAACTGCAACAGCAAGTTTATCACTTTTTCCTGTAATCAACTTTGTATGTTTACATATCTGTCACTCTGTTGTGTGCCCCGCCTACCAACAATATTCAGTTCTCCTCTCAAGCTAGCACCCTTTGGAAAATAAATATTAAGTTGGAAAAGAATGAAGTTCAGTGCATTGGACAATGATAATTCCTTAGGGCTTGGGTTGTAATATAAAATTGGAGTGCTACTTGAAGCTGAATATATACAGCATGATACATTGCACTTGTATTTCAGTAGAATATAAAGCTCCCTTAAACCAGTAAATTGTAAATTGTGCAAATTGTAGAAAATATTCATGATTGACAGGTATAAGAAATTAGGTCATATTAAAAAATTTATTTGAAAGGTGTGTTATAAAACATTTACAAGTCGAAAGAGTTTATTTAAAACTTATGACCCTATTTGAATGAATGATTGTTTGAAAAGGCATCTGAAATTTGTGAGTTGAATAACATGTAAAAAGTATTTTTTTGAGGTTGTATTGGTCTTGGTAGCTGTGAATTGATATGTAATACTTAGCTCTTAGAGGATGCCAATCATTTCTTGATGCACATTTCACACCACCATGGCACATCATCCTGATGGTTTGCAGAAGATCCATTGTAATATTTTAGTCCACAGTCAAGCCAGTCCCATGAAGTATTTTTTTGTGGGGCACACTGCTTGCTTGTGATGGCAATCCTTATAGTGCTCTTCCAAAATGAAAACTTTTTCTGAGTGCCAACTTCAAATGTGATTTCCAAACCCCTTACCCTCTGCCTGCTATAGCCAAACAGTTTTGGATGGGGCTTGGCTTTTTTTTGTCTGTGGTAAGGAAACCTGTCCCCATAACTTCTAGCTTCAGCAGACTCTATCCCTTGTTTCCCAAGCCACTCAGTTGTACGTAGGTTTTGTAGTTCATTTCACCCTCTTGAAGGTAAACTTAGTTTATAATCAACATTTACTGTAGCCTTATCTTCTTTTCCCATCTTAAAATTTTGTTTGGTTTGTTTGTATTATTTTAATGTCTGTTTTTTTTCTCTCAACCAGTGTATCTTGTGGTGCTGTACTTAATTATCTGCATTGTACTGATGCAGCAACAAGGGGGAAGCAGAGTATGTTGTGCTTAAAATATGAATGCTACACTAGAAACTGCAATAGAGTGCAGACAACTCTGAGAGGTATGAAATGATAGCTATTTATTCCTATTACTTAACAATGCAGTGAATTTTTATATTTATTACATAGTGTGTGATGATATGTCTAATTCATTATTTCAACACCACACTGACTTATCACCATGACCTAAATTGGTACATATCGTAAACGTCCATGTATTAGCTGCACTTTTTTTCACAAAATTGAAGCCAAAAATCAAGGGTGCGGCTTATCCATGGATACATCTGTGTTTGGAGTTCTCAAAAACTTAATTAATATTCATAAAACTTCTTAAGATGCCAAGAAATAAACATAAAAGAAACTGAAAGCGTGTTGGTGTAGTTCATTGACTTTTTCATTAAGTGGTGGCTCCTAAGGGAGCTGTTTGTGTCTTCGAGTGTTTATCATCGAATCTTGCTCTCCAAGATTCTTTCAAGTGATTAATTTTCGCTTTACTCAAACAATTAATGTGGGAAGATGACTCCAATTCTGATCCATTTGCTGGCATAGATGAGGACGAGGATGTGGACTTGCTTTACACCAATATTTTCGAACAGTAACAAGCAAGAAATTGACCCAGAAAGCTATAAGAATCTCTTTGGAGATAGCGGTCGCGAGGACTTTTATGGTTTTTAATGATAAACACTGACTTTCTCAGATGTTCACATGAAGAACAGTAGCATCTTTTATAAATAACCTGAAGTATTATAATATTAATTAATGAAATAGAAACTGAAATGATTGCATCAGTGCACGTGCTTTCTGTTCATGCCCAGACAATGGCCAGGTCCTGGCCCAGACTCCTCCCAACATTTAAAGCTTGGCTACTAAGCACTTGTTTGTTTATAGTTTCTCGATGCTGAGGGAATTTCAACTTTATGGCATGTTTCGAAGTGATAATCTTGAAAAATTGGATCGAAAGAGCATTTTAAGTTAAAGATGGTGTAAATTCCAATGAAAAAGAAGGTACGACAAATGAAATTTCGCTTTCTTTAGACTTGATAAATGTGAAAGATAGCCACAACTTCTATGTCGGTGTTTCGAAACCTTGATTGTTTGTAGCAATACAACTCTACTGAAACTTCAACTGTATTGTTTTTATTTTTTCCAAATTCTGCGCTCCAAATCGGAGGTGTGGCTTGTCTATGGATGCAGCTTATACATGGACGTTTACGGTAGTTCAGAAATTAAATTCATCCAGTATTACCTGCAATTTTTGTACTATTTTTCTTCAACAGAATTCAACTAAGAAGATTACGAATTAAACCAGTGTAAAAACCTAGCCAACAAATGTCTGGGTAGGAGACAGTGAAAAGTGAAAATGGAGTAGCCTGGGTCCTGGCACAATGTCCATCTCTGACAGAGAATTTTCACTGATGAATATCATTTACATTTACCCATTTAAGCTTTGGGGAAAATATATTAAATTCAAAAAGAAAGAAACAGCATGTGTGGTGTTCTTTATGTCTTCTTACAGAGTGCTCAATGGCAAGCCCAATCACCAACCACTTGCCCATTAATTTTCATGCAATTAAATTGGCCACTTTATATCACATGCAAAGTGACCAGACAGTTAGCAAGCAATAACCACTGTCTACATCAATATTTGCCCTCTGGTTATTTCTGTTGGAAAAGAAGCAAAAGGAACCCCAAGCATTTCATCTTTTCATCTTTATTACATGGAAGAAGGACAAACTCATTTTTTGGTCTAGTGATAGTGACATTAAAAAGATGATCTCAAATGCTTCTCCAGAAAGTTCTAAAAAGTCAACAAAATTTGCTGTCAAGGAGAGTTTTAAAATTTGAGAGGAGGGTTATAATTAAATAGAGCCCCTTCTGGCTTGCTGCTGTGTCAGCTGATAAAGCCCTTGACTCAGAGATTTTCTCAAATTCTCGCATTTGCCCTCAAAGCTTTGTTTCTCAGCCAATTATTCTTATCTCTTAGTTAGGGACCCTATCAGCTGACGTACCACGCGCCAGAAGGGATAAATTTGCTTAACAAACCTCAATTTCATGTGATTCCACTTGGCGAATTTTCTCTTACAACATGTTCCTTGTCCAAAAAGTCAGGTAGTTCAGACAGTTTTTCCATCATTCTGTAATTTTTCAGTTTTCTGATTATTTCCAATTAGCTCAAACATTTTGATTAATAAAGGTATTCGATTTGAACTTATGTGGTTAGGACTGAACCAAGTTTCAAAGACAATCACCGAAGGAAACGCGACGAATGTCACTCGAGAGATCTTTTTGTTACTCCCAAACATTACGTCTTCAAATGACGCCTAGATCAATATCTGAGCGCGAATGGGCTTTCAAACCTGTCGCGATGTCACCTTTTCGCATACTTTCCCCGGTGATTCCTTTTCTGTCGACCTCTCCCCAGCGCATTGAAAGCCCAGGGGTAAAGTTGCAAGAAATCCGACAGTCCATTACACAAGGTTGTATTTTATTATTTCCTACAGTAGTTTAAAAACTTGAAATGACGATCGTACGGTGGCCCATAACTGTCACGGCGAAACAAAAAAGTCACAGCACCACAAACTTTACTCACGACAAAACAAAATTAACTCGCGGCAAAACAAAATGTATGGTGGCCCACAACTGTCACGGCACTACAAACTTTACTCACGGCAAAACAAAATTAGCTCATGGCAATACAAAGTAACTCACGGCAATATAAAATTAACTCGCGGCAAAACAAAATTTACTCACGGCAAAACAAAGAAAATGATTTGGTCAGCGGTTGGTCAGCGGTTGTTATTTGTATTTCAAATGGTACGTCGTGTAACAGTAAACAAACGAAATGGCGACCTTTGTCGCTAAGAATAGTAGTAGGGTGAACAAGAAGCCAATGATAATCTTGAAACAGTTTATATTTATTCGTTTTAGTTTCAACTAGCGTCGCCAGCGACTGGCAGGCGTGCGAGGATTCACAATGAAATAAGAGAACAACCTTCGATTTTCGTAAAATTGTAATTTACAATCCTTGAACTTGAAAACAATCCGAAGATTCAGCAAAATTATCACTTACTCCGAAGCGCTCATAGTTTACAGGGGTTCAAAGGCTTTTTCTGTTATGGTGTGAGATTGGGGACAAAATCGATCATTACATTTCGTATCGTGTGTTTTTTCCGTGTGAAGCAACAAAAGGTGCCGGCGACTGACTGGAATGCAGATACGAACACTTTAAATTAAGAAACGTACCTCTACCACAGCTTTTACAAAAGTTTGCATCTTCGTTATCTCGCAATTAACAACCGCTGACCAATTCGTTTTCTTTGTTTTGCCGTGAGTAAATTTTGTTTTGCCTTGAGTTAATTTTGTTTTGCCTTGAGTTAATTTTGTTTCGCCGTGAGTTAATTTTGTTTTGCCGTGAGTAAAGTTTATAGTGCCGTGATTTTTTGTTTTGCCGTGACAGTTGTGGGCCACTGCAGGTTGTGGGCCATCGTACTGTTCTATATTTTCATTTGCAGCAATATTTTTGTTCGCGGTCAAAATTTTAATTTGCACGCGTGACCCTTCTGGGCCACCGTAGGCCACCGTCACCGGACGATCGTGCGATCAGCTCGAGCTGTTTCCAGTTCTCACACGATCAAAAATTTAGTAGATCACGTGGACTAAGGCCTGGTCGCTTAGCTAGAGAATTCATATTCCCACGGATTCGCGCCAATGGTGGACGAGATGTTTTCTGCTATTGCAGTGTATGGCCTCGAATACCTTCGGAAACCTTGAACAGAGTGAAAGGGATTTAAACCGCTCTTTAATTCGTTCCCAGGAGAGGTAAGCATTTGATGAGTATCTGCAGTTGAGTGGTTCCGGGGAACCAACAAGACTTGGGTAACTGAAATTGGATTTTACTGTACATAGATAGCTTGTAAATATGTAGCGCATGTTTTCTTCCTACTTAGTTTAGCGATGATCGATTCCTTTTACAGCCACTGTAGGGAGCACGAGCCAACGACGGAACTCACAAGTTGGTCAGGTAGTTGACCGTGCGACAGACATGATGCGGTACAACTGCCCCTCATTCAGCCGAAATGATTCGCCTTCATTCCGAACTAGATTATGCCGATCAACACCACATTCTGCTTTCCCCACATACATTTACTGGCAGGGCCTTCGTCTTTTAGAAATACTCACCCAAAAGTAGTTTGTAAAACGGTTGTCCTCCTGGAAAAGGCTCTGTCTTCAAAGAATACCCGTGGCCCATGATCAGATAATCTGTTTTGCTGGAGTCGGTTTCCTATCAGACGGCGACGAACAACCTTTTCGTGGCTCAATAGTGATTGAAATTACTGGCAAAATGTTACCAGGTGGCATCGAATTTGTTAAACTTCATAACGAGAAAGTCACCTCACCCCTCGTAACTGTTGGCTATAAGTGGGACGTTAACCATGTCAAAACCTGTTTGGTTAAGGTCACGTGTATGTCTGGTAGGCAGGAAAAGTTTGAGGGCACCAGACCAAGACAAGCGCAGTGACAATCCCAATGGATCCAAAGCTCCCTCAGAGCAGCAAATAACCACCACTGGAGAGGTAGAGGCCAACCCCTTGAAGCCCAACAGTTTGAGTGATAGTTTTACAATAAGGTAATTACCCTACTTGCTAGTACAGCTTCAACATGAACATGTTATACGTTTTCTGTGTTACATACATACATACTTTACTTGATAAAGCTGGTTGTAAAATGGCAGCAAAATGCTGATGTGGACCTGCTATATAACATAAAAGTAAAGTAAAAGTAAAAAAAAATATGTAAAAAGTAAATCTAAACCACAACGCAGACACAGGATTGGGCTTCTGGCAGTCTTTATTGCAAAGTGTTACTGACAAACATATAACCTTTATTGACTTATACAATTAAAATCCTTTAAAATACAATAAAAATCAACTAGGTAAACTCGCCACAATAACACCGAAAAAAAAAAAAGACAAAAAACTAAAACAGTAGGCTGTTCAGGAAGTGGGTGGGTGGGCAAATAATTCCCTATAGATGCTATATATTAACTGCTTGGAACGCTGTAGCAATGCCTATCAAACAGTCCAGGAAAAGTAGTCAGTAATACCTAAGTACCCCAACGGTGTTGCAACTTCAGGTAACTGAATGGTTCTTAAAGTCTTATGACTATCAGCATATGAGAAAGTCATATTCATATGACTGTACAGTATTGCTTAAGCTTGAATAAACTAGAAGCCAGTCTCCACTCTCTTTGAATGCTCACACTGTAGTCTAGATTTATATTAATAACCAGTTATCAATATCCACATGAAAATTTTAAGATAGTATGACAATAATGATGATGAAAAATAAAAGAAAGAAATTTCAAACATTATTATTTTATACTAACATCAAAAATATATAAAAGCATTTGTGTTGTTGGTCACTGTTGGTTGCTGTTGAATTGGTACCAAATGAAATTTGGTCAACAGTCTTTGATTAGGTTTGCTTTGAAAGATGGATAGCTTGCCACTGATTTCAACTGGGTTGATAGATAGTTCTAAACAATGCTAGCATGGTGAACAAAAGAATTATGAAGTACTTTAGAATTAGAGTGAAAAAGTTCAAACTTAAGGTTGTCCCTCGGATTGTAGTTTGTTCTGTGTTTAGAGAATAATTTTGTGATACCAGTGGGTGTTTGTTGGTAGCAATGTAAGCTAGTCTTTTCTGTGTTTACCTGCAACAATTCAGCATTCCAAAGCAAAGCAGCATAAGTCACCTAAAATGGTACTTGAATTAATGTGTAGGTAAAAGATAAGGGCAGGTTGTATTAAGGCTGACCACTATCAACATCCTGTCCTAAATTCTGTAATGTAAAACCTGCACGATTTGCTGTGTTAAGCAAAATTCTATTATTAAGATAGCAAAATTGAAATTGAATAAACTGAAAAGAATCTGTAAATGGACTTCACACTTCAAACTAAATCAACACTTAGGCTGCTGTTATGCATACAATATGTAAATGTGTATTTTTTTGAAGGATTCTTTATAGTTTTCACATTTTCTAGTAAAAAGTATACTCAAGTTTCTGAAAGAAAGCTGAACTTGAGGTTTTTTACATCAACAGGTGATTCACTAATATCAAAATACATAGATTTACTGATAAAATTATGAGCAATTCACTCTGGAGGAAACAGACTACCTCACTCAAATTGAAAACCCTGTGCTTTTGAAACTCAATATTTTTAACTGTGACTATGATACTTGGGATCATCAGGGCATCTGAATGGAGCAATTCTTATTTTTCAGAGTCATTTCTGATGAGGCAATTGTTAACTCTGTGCAAGGTATATTTGTTGACAGTGGGTTTTCAAGAAGTTTAGGGTGTTTAATTAACCCCTTCACTGCCAGCCTCCATGTTATCCCCTGTGCCAAGCCTATTTTCCTCTTTTTGAGGTAAAGTTGCCTCAAATCAGATGTTATTAACTCTCTAACAATAGAACCTAGCCCAAGAAAAGTATACATTTTCTGAAACTGCACTAAAAATTTTATTTTGAGCTTGTATGGTTATTGATTTTTGAAATTGGATACCTGATGATGTCATCTGAATATAAAATTAGCATAAATTGGCACTCTTTGTGCACTCCTTTCTGGCATCTCTTCTGAGGCTTTTGTTTAGAGGCTTTTACTGGAATGGGTGACACAAAGTGATGCTTAGTAAGTCGTATGATGTTCTACTCCCTGGGAATCTCCATGTCAGCACCATTTCCATTTTCAGAGAAGTGCTGCAATCACTTTATGTTGAAATCTCAGAAATTGTTTTTGATGACCACCCTTCTGATAAACAATGAACCTGTTGAACATGGAAAGCTGCATAAAGTGGATGGCCACCTTCTTGTGCCACTTCAGTGTTTTGCGAGGCACCTCATAGGGTTTTAGCAGCTGGTCAGTGCAGTCGATGCCACCCATGTATTTATTGTAGTCAGCAATACAGGTTGCTCATCTCTTCTCAATTGTGCACTCTTCACTTACTCTGGAAACCCCATCCTGTTGCTTCGGATTGTTCCACAAGCTAAAGTTCCTTGGTGGTGAAGGTACTTGTACAGTGGCAAGCTTGTGTACCAGTTGTCAGTGTACAAATGATATCCTTTCTACAGCAATGGTTGCATGAGGTCAATGACAACTCTCTCAGAAAGAGAAAGCTCTTGTGCTCTGGGGGCTACGTTTTCTTTCCACATATAAATCTTGAAAGAAAATGTGTAACCGCTATCCTTACACACAATGATTTCACACCAAATCTAGCTCTTTTTAGGGGAATGTATTGCTTGAATCCCAATCTCCCCTCTACAATAGCAGGGACTCATCAATTGAAATATTATGGGCTGGAACATATACTTCCTGAAACTTCTTAAAGAGATGATCTGATAAAGGTTGCAGCTTGAACAGTTTATTAGGAGATGGATCATTAGGCGCAGGCATATTGGAGTTGTCACTGAATGTAGAAATTTCAGAAGCAACCTGAAAAGATTTCTGCCCATGATAGCACTGAAAATGGGGGTACAAAACAATGGGTCCTTGGATCAATAAATGTCTATAGCAGGCTTATGAATAATCCTCATAAAAAAAAACAAATCCACGAAATTTTTTCATTTCTGTCCTGTCAGTTGAGGACCTATCATTTGCATGGGATCTTCTTCTAAGATTGCCCTCAGCTATAAATTCGTCTGCATAGCGATTAGTTTGTGCTACAAAACGAATGAGCAAGTCATCATTGATGAATAGGGCAAAGTATTCTTGTGGTTCAAACCCTACTGTCTGTACTTGTACACCGGAATTTCCTATGAATGGAATATCACGTGATGTTGTTCCATGGACCATTTGCCAAACAAGGGGAGCTTGTTTTTGCCTTGCTGGTCTTTGCCTTACACGGTTCACACAAGTCCTACCATCTCCTTCATCAGAAGCTTCATTGTCATTGCTTTCTGCAGAATCCTGAGTAATATTGTCTTAGATAAAGACGCATCTTATGACTACTTTATCAGGTAACAGGTAATAAAGTTATGACGAACTGGAGTGTTGACTGTTTTTATTGTTTATTAATATTTAGTTAACTGAAACCCAGAATGATAATTAAGTTAAGAAGCAAATAGTTTCAAGACTCAACATTTGTTTCAATTTTTCCCGTAAATAATATAAAGCACTGATGAACATTAAAATTGACATCTGATTCTGTACAATTTCTCTGTTTTCGCATTGTTTTACAAATCAAATATCTGATCTTCAAACACTCTTTCAATTATTACGTAGTGAACATAACTGCTCTCTGGCACAGGAGAAGTGAACTAATCTAATGTGAGAGCATATTACTTAAAACACGGGTTCGTGTTGGACAAAAATCAACAACTTTGAAAGCTAAAGGTAGCTTAAGTGACAAATGTTTCTTTGCATATTAAACTTCAGTGTCGCTCATGCTGTCCCATGCACTGTCACTGTCTGAATCCGAGTCCTGGTCAGGCAAGAAGAAGGCCTTCTTTGCCTAGTGCACTTTCCTTTGCAGTTGTTCTTCAGCAAGTTTCAATTGCTCTGCATTCAATGGGGCAGCAGGAGAATCGCATTAGGTGCCTTGGTGAACCAAAATAGGTTTCAGGGTAGCTGCTGAGGTGGTATCTTTGTTGGTGGAGATAGGAGGCTTCTGTAGTCTGCGGTTTTTCTTTCGTAGCCAATTTGCAACTGCTGTCTTGACTACTTTTACTTCTGGCGTTGAAACAGCTGGGCGGTTGATTGACACATGTAGTAACGAGTTCAGCATGTCATTCTCCAGCCTGTTTCTCAGTCGCGTTTTGATTCTTTTAACCGCACCTGCACCCCTTTCTGGCTAGGCGTTGGTGATTGGTGCAGATAGGGCAACTTCTGCCAGCTCGACAAGGAGTGGATAGAAATATCCATACACAGATTTCATCTTATCAACTCGCTGCAAAGCCCACTCTAATGGGGTAGGGGCACTCTTTTCGTTGCTTCCTCACGCTGTTGATGGAGGGACGATACTTGTCCAAGCGTCTAGGTCAAACTTGAAGCAGGTTGCCAAGAATTTTATTGTCGTTGTCGGTGATGGTCAACTCTAGGCTACCCAATCGTCCTCCTGGCTTGATGTCTTCTTGTAGACAGAAGGCAGAACATTCCTTTGTTTTCCTCGTAAACTAGCCACCACAATCCAGAGGTTTTATCAAAACTAAGATCCTTGGTAGATACTCAGCTGTGTCTGAACTTGGCTTTCAAACGTTGGAGAGTGTCTGTTGGCGAGATCGTGCAGCAATCACTTGATTTACACAAATAGTGATTGTGCAATTTTGAGTTCTCATCAAATGTGGCAGTAATTTCACCTTTACCTTGCACATCTGCAATGGTAGGTGTAGCTATCACTGTGGTCTGCTCTGTTCCACTGCATGTACTTGATGAGTGATCGTCAACAGGTGAAGAAGTGGCCGAACACGTGCTCTCGTTGATTTGCACAGATTCTGTAGCGGAGCTAATCGAGCTTCTCTCGGCAATGTCACTTGGTTCCTTAGAACTTAGCGTGTTCCTTTCGGCAGACTTAAAAAATTTCATGATACCAACGGCCTCAGAATCATCTTTCTTTTGGAAAAGCAATAATATTTCAACCGTCAGAGATATGCAATTTGGCGTTCATTAATCATTATTATCATGAGGTACAAATACCACTCGCCATTGAGCCTGCAAAATGGACGATGCGATGCGAATGATGCGATCGTCGCACTAAATGGAGTGTCTACAACCCTCTCAGTTCAGGTAAGACAGCAATGAAGGTGTAAGCAAACGAAATAAATAAATAACAATCTTCTGACAACATTTAAAAACATTTTGGATAAAGAAGTAGTGCTTTACAGCCGGAAAAATCGCATCCACAGTCGGGTAATTTTCCCGGCTTCCGGCTATTATCTGCATCCCTGAAGAGGCATGACGTACTCAGTACGTCATAAGGCAGTAAAAGGGTTAACTGAAGTCTTCATTTTGTTACAAGGACATACCTTATTTACTATTGTATAGGTCGAACTTGTGTTTAAGTCGACCCTCATTTTTTAGTTCAAAAATCGGATTTTTCATCATTTCTAGTCAAAGAAGTAAAATTCAGACAGATAGACATTTCTCAAAAGCTAATCTCATATTTCTAGGCATGTATTGAAAACACGAGGAATTAAAAAAACTGCAGAGCAAAATTGTAACCGTGTGCTTTGAAGTTTAGTTTATTTATCTTGTTTATATCACCACGATTTAAGCACACACGAACACTTCGATTTATTGGCGAAGTATTTTACCATATTTTGTAAATCACATTGAAAATGAAATCTTGCATTTAACTAAACTTTATCTTAATGCTGAGTTTGATAGTAGATTAAGTAAACCAAAGGAACGCCAAAAAGCTTCGAAGGATTGCGTGTAACATGCAAGACTGCTCGAGACAACAGCATTTGCCAAGTTACTTAGCAACTGTAATCATTCAATGAAATCAAAAGTTCAGCACTGTAAACAACAGCAAAGCTGTAAGAAAAACTGTCTGCACTACAGTCCGAAGGCACAGTAGAAATCAGCTTCAGTAGCTTTGTGTTAAGCCACTAAAAATTTATTATCTCAAACTTTTTTGTAGATGAAGAATGCGCTGAAAAGTGACGAAACTTGAACACAATTTGAACTGGTTTTATAACCTCAGTTTTCCTAACTGACTGAGGGCAACTGTTATGTTAATTTCTTGGATTGCTTGGGTCAGGTCTTTGTGTATGACTCATGTATAAGTCAAGGGTGATTTTTTGGGCTGATTTTCAGTCATAAAAGGTTGACTTATACACAAGTAAATACAGTAGGCATCACTCAAGTAGAAGTAACAACATACTTAAAGTGAATATTTAACTCACTTTAATACAGTCAGTCATATGCAAGGTCTATATATCAGCTATACAATCTTGATGCATTTCCTAAAGAAGTTTTCTACTAATGGATTGATGAGCCATGCTTAACAGTGATCCATTTACAAATACTGTATAGGTCAGTGAGTCTAGGGATTCGCCAATCCATCAATGAGTGAGTCCTAGATCCCATTCATTATAAACTAGTGGTAGCTACTGCTAAGTTCCAATGAGAAGTCAATACAGTACATAGTTTGCAAAAGACATATCCAAGAAATAAAGTATGCACCATTTCAGGACCCAACTGTAATATTTTCATTTCAAACCATCAACAACAACAATTAACAATAGAAAAAATCTCTTACTTAGTTTGTATCTTGAACAACAATGTTGGGGGTGTTTTACAATAATATTCAATAAACTGAAACTAAACCTATGTTAGTCATCAATGAGAAATAAGAATAAAAATGCAAGAAATCGCAAATGCTTAAAATGCAAAGGAAAATTGATGTAGTTAAGAATTGTATCATCTGGAAATTGGAGAATGGTTTTGCACTTAGTGAATCAGAGAGTTAGAAAATTGAATGGTTAAATTAAAGTGCATGTACAATAGTGTATTCAGTGTAAACAAAATGTTAAAAGGTTTAAGTTGACTTTCATGGGTAGGACGAAGTAATTGGAAGTAATATTCATAAGGGAAACTAGGTGTCATCAGAGGAGAATTGGCAGAATTGTTTAATTGGGAAAATCAGATAATTGTATTGAACTTAAAAAGAAAAGGAATAATTTTAGAGTTGGAAGAATCATAATCTGAATATTGTAGAATGGTTTTGAACTTGGAGAATCAGAAAATTGTAAAAATTGAGAGTGAAATTCATATTTTACAATTCTCCAAATTAGCCATAATCGCACTCTTCTGAAAACTCTAATGTTCATATTCTGTTGGGTTTTTTTTTTTTTACCATGGTCTGTGAATGTTCTTAACTTGAAGTTCAAAAATTGGCAACGAATTGAGCAGACCTTGGAGGTTACTGCTTGATACATCACACT